GATGTCGATGCGATTGTCAAGAAGGTCCGACGAAGCGCGATTATAAATAGGGGTCACTATTGTATATACCAGGACTCGTTTTCTATCCTCGATACTTACGTGACACACAGCTTCAAATCGTATTACGTTTCGTGTTGTTACCACGAAAGACGTCATAAGGGGTGAAATAGGAGTTTTTGTTTTCAATGCGAACAAATATGGAGAAGTCTCTCGTTCTGTGCTTTTTTCGCAGTGATTTCGCCGGGATAACAATAGCGGACGCGTTTTACAAGCACTTTTTTTCCCTCGCGCGTAAACCGAGATAATTGGCCGTGTCCTACCGTAACGGCGCAACCGCTGCTACACACACCGAGCCCGACAACGAGTTGTTATTGTGCTCCGCTGTTTTCATGGTTAAATCGTTTTGTTCCCGCTGCGTGCCGCTCCTAGCCACTCGTCCGTTCGTGAAAATCACACTGCCAGGTGGCTGTGCCCCAAAAGGAGCCTTCGCTGCTCGCACGTCCCTAATCCCATGGCTCTTTCACCGCCTTGCGATGGAAACGAAAGTTCCCGCGAAAATGTGAAGAACAGATACAGGGAAAATAATCGAGGTGGAATGAAAACCGGTGGATTCGTCGGCGTGTAGCCGAAGAGAAAACGCACTTCTTCTCCCTGACGATTACGCATGGCAAGCGGCCGTGACGGAAATAGAAAAAACGAGGAGAAAAGTCTAGAAATCACGTATATCATGTTGATTACATGCATGATTTAATCCAGCACCAGTGCACCGTGCCCGCCGTTACAAACTGTGAACACGAAACGAGCTATAAAACATCCACCCGCGACCGGGGGAACGTAAAACTGTACCAGAGATGCTACGGAAAATAAACGCGGTACGTGATACATAACCTGAGATACCGAACGCTGATCCTGGGGTATTCCTCTGAGACTTTCTTTGACGTGGATTGGTGTGATCGATGTCACATCAGTATCTATATTTGCAATTAAATTAGAAGTAATAAACTTCAGAAATGAGAATGAATTATTTATTTAAGCAGATATTTACTAAGGCAGATTCTCAGGTAACAGTGTGGAACAAAATCGATCAATCGCAAACTTTATGGGAAGCTCGCAATTGGCTTATTTTCCTTACGACCTGTTGCGTTATGGCAAATACAGCGGTTGTATCGAAATTCCGATATTTATGGGTTAAGTATCGATACTCTATCGCCCATCACTACTTAGCATAGACATCTATTGTAGTTAGATCCACTTGGATTTAAACTTGAATGGATTTCACTTCTAACCAGATTAGGATCTCCATCGAACGATATTCGATTCAATTTCAGCCGAATTAAACTACGTTCAATTGTAACTAAGCTTGAATTGCACCGATCTCCAGTATTTACATTAGATCGAGATCAGGTTAGGTACGTTTAATGGAACGGATCAACGTTAACCTTGTTTACAGTTAAGTCTCCATACACACACCTGAGTAGGAATCAGACTTGTTAATTAAGGCCTAGGCGTATGGTGGCGCAGGTGCAGGATGCGGTTCATGAAAGGGCGGTCGAATAATTAGGTAAAAAGGAGAACATTTCAAAAGTAAGGCTCAATTCAACCATAAATGGAGAAACCAACGGCGCGACACGCCCACGCCCCCCGACGTTCGCATTAATCTTTTTGCATGTGGTACACGCGCCCCGCTGCACTGCATTATCGATACTTCCGGCGACTGTTCGACGGACAAACGGAGCGTACGTAAACGGCTACGGTGGCGGCGAACAATAAAACTTTACGTGAATTAAACACGCGCGGCGGTAGAGGAGGATATACGCTTACTACGCTAACAGGTATCGATGTCGCCGTAACTATTACCCACAGGCGCCTAGTGTTTTAATTAAGCTCGAATAATGCTCGGTAACGGGGGCTATGAATGATGTCGGTCGACCGATAACGTTCTCCGATAGAATCAGAAATGCGATTACAGCACAGAGTTAGCGATACCTATAGTTCAATAAGTTATTCCTTATTTTTTTACCTCGAAAACACCGGAGAATAATCGTGACGAAACGGAGGAAATTTTAGAAAAATCTTATTCACTTGAATCCATAAAACTAAATGACGTGTCGTTGGTTAACTCCCCATGAAATTACATCCTGTGTATTAGCACTTTTTCATCTTGTTTTTAAAATTTATAATCTACGTCCAGTGTTTACTTTATACTTGTTCCGTTCGGATCCAAACAAAGTCATGTTACGAATAACCTAAAATATCGCAGCAGTACTAGTGTCACAGTTCACGAGTACACAGCACGTCCCTGGTAGAGGTGAAAGGCGCGTTACAAAAATATGTGTACAACTGTATTGCACCGGCGGGCAGGCTCGGCTTTGTCTCAAGTTCATTGTAACTTTGGTCATGTTCTTCGTGCATCGGCTCCTATCAACGCCACACCTCCCTTCGCCGTCGGTCGTGAGTACATTTCCTTGCCCCCGGTTGACGTTACACATTGGTTCGTAATAATAATCCTTAAATACATGCCGCCCTATCTATCCCCGTAGTCGATCCACATCTGTTGTCCCGATCAGTAACTCCTTCTGTGGTGTAACGCGAGATCATTATTATAGTAATGTTTGGTATGCCAAGGAAACACCAAAAATTTAAAAACATTCCACAAGAGCAGGGAAAATATGGTTAACCCGATGGGGGCAGTTTTATGTACACCCATCTCTGGGTAGATTTAATATTCGATGCACCAAGTTGTCAGTTTCCTGAACCACACGCAATAAATAACACGAGAGGGTCGTGGCGGCGCGAAAAGCACTTAAAAGAGGTGTGTCAATGAAAAGTGCTGAAAGCGCCGGAAGATATATGAATGAAAGCTTCTCCAGCGATTGTCAGTGGACAGACCGCTGGGGGATACTTGGCTGACGCGTCTTTCGAAAAAGCTGGCGTCTCCGCAACCGAGGTACATAATTGACCTAATTGAACGTAACGAGTGGTCACGAGAAGTATGACAGCCTTTGTGAAAAGGTAAGATACGATCACTCGTGGGAAGCGATGGACGTCCACGCAATCAGAAAGTATTCGTACACCGGTGACACTTACTATCAGTTAACGATACTGGTTACAGTGTAATACTAAAACAATACGCGACATGTACAGATAGAAATCGTGTCTGGTCTTGAACCCTTTTGGACTCAGTAATAGATTTACGAGATGGTGTCAAGAGGTTAGCTTCGATAAATCATTGCAGAAATTCTTGGCTGAATTCGACATAAGAGTGCCCCGTACTATGCGAAACGTATCGCAGCAGAATGGATTCACGGTACAAAAATAGCACAAAAAAAGTTTATACAAATATACGTCCGATATAACCTTGTTTCCAAGTTACAGCCTGTTTCGTATTGCAACGTGTGTACGTAACTTCAAAGGAAATGTTCGAAATAAACATCTCTAGCTTGTGAACACAGTCTCGGTATTACTGAACTACTGCATTCACGATACAAGTAATACATGATAGTGTTTACAAATTAGTCAGACTCAGGACCATTCAATTTTTCAGATAAACAGTAAATGAATGTCCAACTGTGGTGTGCCTGTACGCGGGAAAGATTGATACATTCCAGAACAGGCTGTACATCGAAACCAAAGTCATATCGGACATACATTTCTATATGAACTTTTATTGTCATTTTTGTGTCTCGAACCACCCCTGCGGTAGTTTCCACATGGCACGGGACACCCTGTATAAGGAGAGAGCGGTAAATACGCACGGCGAAGTTACATACCAAGCGTGTGGCACACTTTGCAGAAGCACTCTACCCTCAGGGTCGTACTGGGAATGATAGAAACGAATTACGAATAGTGAAGACACATCGTCTCCAGTTTGTCGATTGTTTTCTCCGCGTCAACGGTCAAACTTTCTACACTGTTTCTGTTTGCCGGCGACACTCAACGCATTCTTCGCGTCTCTTGATAACTCTGATTCTGCATGGATCACGAGAGAATGAAAGATACTCTTTCCAAACGAAATATGATACGCGATCAGCGTGGAACGCGTTGAAAAAGCTCGAACCTAACTGCACTGGTTTTATTCTGTAGCGGATTCTAGAATTATATTTCACAATAATTCTGAATATCCAACAATTTGTCAGATAATTTATGTTCAATTTACGTAACACACAGACACCAGTTGAACACTATAATAGACATGCAATTAGAACAGCGACATTCTTATTGTATGGTGTATTAAACATTTACTGTCAACCGGCCCAAACAGATGATTCCGTAAATTTTCGGTCGCATATACGTTATAACACACCAATTTCATATTGTATTCCTTTCAGTAATATAATACGTGCAACTGTGAATACAATGTTGGAATATTTACTTTATTTGACGTTACTGTAGGTTATATTAGTCACACGCATCTTTCGTACGATGTTATATTCTTAAAAAGTAATATACGATACATCACATTAAGAGAATTCGAATCGTACTACTGATTTATTACATACATATGAAGACTCTTCTATGTGAAGTTTTCTATTTACAGGTGTGCACTGACATAAGCGTATCCGTTTTATCGTCACAAAATTCAAAAGCATACGAACAGTTTACATCTTATGTGTAATACGTTAAAAAGAATAAATTTTTTTTACTCAACATTCAGTCTTCTTTGTACAGTGCCATGAATGTGAAATCAGAAAACTTACCTATAGAATGTGGACGCGATCTTCCCCGAAATAACGTACCACGACGCGAAAATCGCGAATAAAAATTGCGACGCGAAAGAACACACAGAGCCGAAACACCAACTGTCTTTTTCTTCCGAGCAAGTAACGGGGTACTTTCTACTGTAAGCACATAAACAATTCTTGTTCCAATTCCGCCGACGGCTACCAACACGAAACAAGTCCGTCGAATCGCGGGGCGACGCTGGATGCGGCCACGGCCCATACTCGCACCATTTTCAAATAGTCCCTGTCACGCGTTCAAATGCAGTTTCCGTTACGTACCTTGTTCTTTACAAGTTCCTCGATCAACGATCTGTCACAGTTCATGGAAAATCCAACCGTGTCAGAGGATCCCCGCGGTAGTAACGCACCATTTAATTCAAGCCGCTGACACAGTGAGTACGGGACTGCTTTCGATGTTCTTACGCGCGAGTCAATATGGCCGACTGCCTAGGAAAATCAGTTTCTCTTATGACGCAATCAAACGAATACGCCCTGTTCGAACGCATTTTCTCCGCTAGATGGCTGGGAACTTCGTCGTCCCAGCCGGTAAAAAGAAGTGTCGAATGTCGATAAGAAAGGGAGTCGCATAACAAAATTTGTTTAAATTTATTTGTAATTTAAATTGTGGCGGCAAAAATTCTAGCTAGCCGAAAGGTATTAATACTATTAATAATGATATTACATGTATATAAATTTTAATTTTGTAACAGCCTGAACTATTATAAGGATTATCGAATCTCACTTTTGAAACTTTTTTATCTGAGCATAGCCATCTGTTTCTACATTTGGCTTGAGTTTTGCAGGCAACGTCAGCTGACAAAATGGTAAAGTAAATTGGTAGCAATCTTGCAATACAAGCCAGGCTAACTAACCTACATAGGTCTATTTATAACTTGGGCTATACTGCAAGACTTGCTACTAATCTGCTGCTAATCTGCTGCTAATCTGCGTGCAAGTTGTTGATAGCAGATCTTGCATCAAACTTGTAGCTATCTTGAGTACGTAACTTTATACATAACAGGTATTGGACAAATTTGGGCTTCGTCGATTTGGCTGGCTGGGACCTGGGATTGTCACTATTCAGTTCACAAGGACAAAAAAATCTGTAACATTTTTTCTATGTAGTTAAAGTATAAAATCAAGGGTGCGCTTTGGATTCACTATGCTGATATTATCCACGAAGATAATCAGCAATTGATGATAGTAATAGTGCGCGAGGATGCATGTAGGAAATATGCAGTTTAATTGACAAGTCACTAAATTCAAGTTTGTTATATTCATGCCAATTTATTGCAACCCGTCCTATTTTGTCCGTATAATATGTTCTAGAGGAAATAAAGCATATCCTAGCGTGCTCATAAATTAGTGCATAGGTAGCATCCTACATTCAATAAAACGTAACAGTTACGTTCTCCTGAATATAACAGAAGTCTGTTGTTGAGAAACCTTACGTTTAGTCAATGTTCATTTTAGAGCATTCTTGAGTATATACAATAAATAGTTGCATCTAATTGTAACGTCAAGTGATCTATTGTTAAATATCATTTGTGTACTCATTAAGGTTTAATTAACAGTTTCGTTGAACCTTGCAACTTTTCGTGAATATTTGCAACGGCAGGTGGCCGGTGTTTAATTCAGTTTAATTCAGTTCGATTCGGTTGTATGTAACACACGGCCCCAAAATTCAGACTTATTATCTAACGTGTTTCATTTTCATAATAATAAGTTTCTCATTTCCGGTGTTCGCAAATGAAATGGCATGGTCTGGGAGATTTCAAGCGAAAAACAATCATGATCTCATACAATATCTTAAAAGTGAGTAATGTAAATACAATTACAATGTAATGTTTATACTCTGCTTATTGTTGTAAATTTATATTATACAAAAAGAAAATAGATTTGTAAGAATTTATATTTTCGTATTAGAATCCAAAGCAATTACATCCGACAAGGTCTATGATGCAATGTCTGCTGTAGACAGAGGGAATTATACTCATTCCAAATATGCATATATTGATTCTCCACAAGGAATTGGTTATGGTGCTACAATAAGTGCTCCTCATATGGTACATTCCTTCATAATTTAAGTAAAATTTATCCTTTGACAAATATATTTAAATGTTTTATATACACTCTTTTAAATTATAAGTACAATAATATAAATTGCAATACTCTAGCATGCATATGCTCTGGAGTTACTTGAAGAGAAATTGCATGATGGCGCAACAGCATTAGATGTTGGATCTGGTTCTGGGTATTTGACAGCATGTATGGCAATGATGCTAGGACCAAATGGACTTGCCATAGGTATTGAACATATTCCTGAACTTAAAACATTTGCTGAAAAAAACATTCAAAAGGATAAACCAGAACTTCTTAACAGTGGCCGTGTTGAATTTGTTGGTAATTGCCTTTTATATAGCTTTTAAATATATTGAATTGTTTTCACTTTATTAAAGATTATATGATATTTTAGTTGGAGATGGAAGATTAGGATACCCTGAAAAAGCACCTTATAATGCAATTCATGTGGGAGCAGCAGCTAAAGAAATGCCACAGGCTGTAAGCAAATGTTTTGCCATTTAATTTTACATATTATACAAATTAAGTTATGGGATATTATTCTTGCAGCTGATAGACCAGTTAGCTCCTGGAGGACGTCTAGTATTACCAATGGGCCCAGAAAATTCAGATCAAACATTAGTGCAGGTTGATAAAACAATGGATGGAAAGATTAAGAAAAGGTCTCTTACTAGTGTTGTTTTTGTACCATTGACTAGTAAAAATAGGCAATATCCTTCATGAAATTTATGCATGCTCCAGTGAGTGAGCTTTTTTTCTGGATATGACTAGAAGCAAGTGATCAATAAAATACAATTTAATGTATATTATTGGTATGCTCCAATACATAAGTACTTTCCTATTTGTAGGTAATGTATTATATTTCTAATCAAAAAAATTGATCAACACCATTTATTTAAAAAATATTTTTAATTAACATAGTATTCTACCATATTTTATAATGTTTCTGGAATTATTTTTGATAAACGATAAAATATTGGTTATAATTTATTGTACTTCGAATCCTTAAAAATAAATACATTCATAAAATGTACAATGACTAGAGTCATATGTTTCTTCAGTTAATTTCTTATGTACTACCGTAGATTTCAGATCTGTGACATAATTTTACATACATCTCTATTATATACTAAAGACAGTTTATATATTCATAAAATGGTTAAATATAAATAACATTAATAAAAAGAATATGTCAAAAATAATTTAATGTAATGTCGCAAACACTACATTTGTAAAATTTATCGTGAAATATGCAACTATATTACTTCTCGATTGAATGTACTTGGCCTCCGCGTTCTGTGGTCCTATTCGTCTTTAACTGTACCAGTCGGCAGTGAGATTAACGCTCGCATATATCTTGTTTTTCTCAAAGTGATTTAACCATGACTAAACTAAGTCCAGCACCTGACACTAATCCTATTCCAAGGAAAGCTCCTATCATAGCAGATGCAATCTCTTTTTCTTGAGAATCGACAACCCTGTTTAAGAATTATGTTACAAACATATACAAACTTGATAATATGTTGATACATTTAAGACTATAATACTTACGTAGGAGCTAGAATAAATGTCAAATTGCACAGATAGCCATTACTAATGGCAAATAAGATAGTCAATAAAATATAATAGAGATCATTATGAATGTAAACAGGAAGATGATGTCTGGGTTGTGCATTACAAAACATAAGTGCAGGTATAAAAATGACTCTTAGTGAGCTTAAAAGCATGACTTGCCATGGTTTGTTTTTTGGCTAGAAGAATAATAGAATGTTTGTAATAATAAATATGCAATTGTAAAATAATTTTTCGAAGAAAGACTTGTAATACACACCCACTGAAAAATGCCTGAAAATATTCGTCCTACATAGTCACCCATGCTAAAAATAAGGTAAGTCACCGTAGGTACAAAGTAGACATCTGTGAAATATAGAAAAAAAATTGAATATTTGAAAGTTGTGTGAACATTAAATAAAACATACCATTCCACGCATGGCCTTTTCCTTTGTATTGGCTTTCTACCAACACAGTGACTGCTGGATACACAGAAAGAGATATAAAGAATACTAAAAATACACTAACACCATACTGCCAAATCCTCTTAACAATACGAGAGTAAGAAATTGTAATGCCTTGAGGAAAAGTTACTTCTCCAGTAACTGAGAACTCTCTTTCCATGTTTTCAGGTGATTTTTCCACCATATGATGTCTAAAAAATGCCTGTGTAGAGACAAATTATGTATCAAGAGTCTGTCTCATTATTGTAAGCTACTTATCATATGTTATGAAACAGCTGTACAGTAAGTGTCTGTATATTCATTAGAATAAGTTACTTACTGCCTCTTCTAAAACAATATATGCGATCAGAGATAAAAACAAAATAATATCTCCAACAATAAAATAGACTAGGCCTGAGAGTATAGGACTAGCACCAATCCACAGGGAACATATTTCTGTAGCAGCTGTAAAAATACCTCCCAAAGCTTGACCACTTGACATAGCAGTTATATACTTTGGAGAAAAACGACCAACAATTCCCATTAAGCTTCCCCCAAAAATCGCACTTGCAGCTATAAAACAAGAATCTGTTGTTATATACAATCAGTTACATTTTCTAGTATATTAAATGTTACATCTATACCATTTACAAATGCTACTGTTGTCAAGGTAACGGCTACAAAAGCATCTTGCCCTAAAAGTTAAATGAATCTTTACTTGTAATAAACAATATCAAAACTTTTAGATTAAATAATTATGTTTTTCTATAACTTACATTTATCTGTATTTATTTTAACAAGCACAGTTGTCATAATGAACAGCAGTAATATTGTACACTGAGATCCTACCATACGTATTCTTAGAGGAACCCTATCATTGAAATTTTTTACCATGTAACTTGTTATTATTGTATTTAGCACATATGTAGATATACATAATCTTTCTTACCTTTTACTAATAAATGCATTTACTATTAAGAAGAATGTATTAGGTAGTGCACTTGCTATACTTAAGTACGAAGTAAAGCTTGCTTGAAGATCAGTTCTCTTCTCTAAATTTTCTACATGAGTATAATTGAAGTGATGTGTAGAATTTTCATGTATCTCTCTGAACTTATACATCCAGTACTATGAAATAAATTTATATAGTTAGACAGATTATTGTCAGATATGTCAAAAAGTGACATTAAATAATAAGATACATGTTACTTACATCATCAGCAGTTATAAAAAAACTCCATGGTATTAATGTATTTATTCCAAGTAAGTAGAAAACTATGTATGCAAGATTATACCTAATTTAAAAGACAATAAATTCAATAATTTAGATCAACATATGGTACTGTCTGAACATAAAATTCTTACTTGTCACGAGGTTCATATTGTTTTAAAAATGGCTTTTCATCTGGAACAGAAACACTTGGATCATCAACCTCAGTTTCTAAATCATCTTCAAATTCACTATCCGATGCACCCCCTAACAACGGTCTTCTATTGATAGAATACGACATGATGATGCTAAAAAAATAAGAAAAGCAATTCTCGAATAACGATGAACAATAAAAAAATTCACAGAATTCTGTTAATTGTTAAAGTCTCTCAAGTGTTTAGTAAACATAACATTTCCGTAATCTACTTCAACAATCTTCTTATGATCAGACTTTTCTCACAATATACTCACAAGATCGTACAAAAAGATCTCAGAGGTTGTCAGTTAATAATCTTCTTTGTGGTCGCAAATACAATTATTTACATTTTGACAGCAAAACAATTCGCGTCACTGTTTTCAAACTGTATCACGCGTGCACAAGGTTTCGTAATGACCATGTTTAACAAACGACGACTGTGAAGCAATTGACAATGCTTCTAATCTCCTATGGTTTTAGAGTCCTGATGGACCCTGCATTGTGTATCAATCATTTCTTTGACCACCTGTGACTAAGCACAGATGTTGAAAAAGCCAATACCACTGCATACAACGGTACATATTAATCCCGATGGACTTTCTCCATTCCCTTTCTACATTGGCAGCAGGCGCAGAACAGCTGACGTATCGCATGCAATCGAACACGAGACGCTTGAGTATGACGTGTTGCTAATGCAATTCGGTGCATCATACAAAGATGTAATATGCATAAGTAAATAAACAATACAAATTTCAGTCGGTAATTAGAACTGATGAATAAATTGCGATTGATTGTTGGACTGAATGTTAATGTAATAAGGGGATTAATTAGCTGAGTGTTTACTTAATTCGATAACTAGAATTGTGAACTTGAATAAACACCCACGGTCAACTGATTAGAATGATTAACACGTCACGTCGTATGCACAAATGCACAATACGAGATTATAGTTCGATCAGTCGACAGCAGAAATGCCAATTTGACCCCCTCGAACCAATGAATTTTGTAGAAAATATGGATCTTGTTTCGCATAGACGGACCATGTGCGCCCTGTAGACCGCGTGGTGCTTATTGGTATTAATCTGCGGCGACGTAGTTGAGAACGTATACACAAATTATACATATGTACATAGTAACGTATATATATATATATATGTATACAAATTTATATATTTGTATTAAGTTGTATTTCTACATTTATTTACATAATAACATCGCTGAAAAATAGTACCATTAATCCCCACACAGTGTGCAGGGCACACATAGTCCGTTTACGCGAGATAAGACCCATATTTTTTACAAAATTCATTGTTCAGGGGGTGTTGGCTAGAGACGCACGTCACCGTCATAAGTCACAAAACAAATGCCAACAAATAAGATGCTGTAGACTGTAGACTACAGCCTGTAGTGATGCTTAAGTTGACAGGTGTCAAGTTCCGTACGATTCATATTTTAAAGTCCAATAAATTGTAGTCTTATACGCATTCGAACATAAAAATAAGTTTTGCAATCGTAGGGAATCATTAAAACATAAGGATAACATTTAACAAGTATGAAAGTTTTAAAACAAGTGAAGAAATTAATTTAAACATGTGTGTCGAGGTTACGAATAAGAATAAACAAGCATATGGTGGATGTGAAATTGATATAAGCCTCTTTGATATAAGTATCAATTCTTGACATTCAAGATTTAATTCTGATACTTACGATACCTTATAAAAAACAACAATGAATATTCTGAATAAACATATACATACAAGACAAATAATTCCTTTCTTTCCTGTATTGGAATTCAATGACGATGTTGTAGATATACCTACAAAAAATCCAAGCATATCTGGCTGGGATATCATTTTTCTTGTGTCTTCGATCATTATGCACATAGTGGACATGGGTTTCGACATAAATCTCATTGTAAGATATTTATTAGCCGGTAAAACAATGTATTTTGTGTGGACAACTATTGTTGTATTTCTGCCTTCGTTCATAAATGTTATAATTAGTAGAAGAATGCAACGTCAAGATGACAAGGTACAGAATCACAAAGTGTATAAATATACAGATAGACTCCTGTTTATGAGTTTTCATTTCAGTTGTATTTAAAAAATCATTTTCCATTTTCTTAGATAAATACAACAGAAAATCAGTCTGAATCTAGCTGTATACATACGATGTTAACACAAAAGTTGTATTGCATTATAGTAGTTGCATTTCAATTAGCACCTGTAATTCGTTATTATCGAATATTAATTCATACTTGGAAGGCTTACAAGTCTCAGAAAGATGAAGATAAAAATGCTCAAAGGCGACATTACCTCAAGATGCTCAAAGAAGATCAAGATGTAGCTTTGTTGAGAGTATTTGAATGCTTTCTTGAAGCAGCTCCCCAACAAGTTTTGCAATTAACTATATTATTGAAGGACTACCACAACAATATTAATTTTGAATGTACATATGTATTTTTATTGATATTCTAGGGAGCACCACTGTAAGCATCTTTAAATTAACTGGCCTCTTCTCATTTATTTTGTAACCATAGTGTTATTTAAAAAAAATATGTTCAAACTATACAGGGTGCCATAGCTAAGATGTTACAAGCTGCTCACTCAAAGACTATTAAAGGGTAGCATTTGGAATTTTTTTTAGTTTATTATTGTTTATTATGTTCTTTCACATCACTAATAGAATCTACCACTAGACCTTCAAAGAAAAAAAAAATTCTAGTGTGTGACAGTTTAGCTGAGACACCTTTATACATGAGAATAATATACTTCTATTTCTAAATGCAAGCTGGAAGATGTCACAGGTGGCTGTGAGGTAGTGATAAAACACAAAGATGCAGAGAGGCAGGTCTCCCTAGTATAGCAATTGTTATCTTATTGTACTGATTGATATGATAGTAAAATTGATGTCTTTGTTTATTATAGTTATTCATCAAGTAGCTACTATTCTTAGTTCACTTGCTAGTATGGGATGGGCCATGGCCAGTTATCACCGTAGCATTAGATTAGTTCAACAGGATAAACTGAATATTGGAATTACAGGAACGGTTTTACAATTTCTGTGGCACTTCTGTACAACAGGTGGGTTAATCTACTATTGTATGAGAAAATTAAGAACCTACATTAACAATTGAATTTCTCAGTTTCAAGGATATTGTCCTTAAGTGTTGTCGCAAGTATTTGGCCCATATACACAGCAATTGGTTGTGTTATTCATTGGATAGGTATGACTGGTTGGATCATTGTCGATTCACGTGGTATATTAGAATTCTGTAGAGATTACAATCATGCACCGCATTGTCCTCCAAAATTTAAGGAACGCATTTATTCTGTTTTGTTTTCCATAGTAATTGGCGTTGTTCACGTGTTCATATATTTAAATGCAGTGGATGGTAGTACACTCTTTAAACATGTATCTTTTTACACAATTTGTTTTCTTGAAAATATAACAGCAACTATATTTTGGATACACGCTTCGTCTGACGAAGTTAAACATGCATGGTACTTTAATGTACTGGTCGTCTTTTGCATTTTACCTTTCTTGATTGGCATAACAGCCATGGTTGTTTATTACTGTGTATTTCATCCTTCCTTTAAACATCTAAATTCTGTAAATACATCATCGTAATTCGATACTAATCCGTTCAATAACATATTTCAGTTCTATTTAAAAATATTTAAGGAAATTTAGATATTGGATTATTGTATAAATATGCTTTTAATTCCAAACAGCATTTGTGCAAGTTCAATTTTCTGTAATTTATTACTTTATTATAGATATATATATACTTTTCAATCTTGTATTCGAATTTATACAATTTCTTCTTGTTTCACAATGGACGTATTTTTTTATAGTGTGATTCAATAAGAAAGTATTTATTTTAGAGTACTAAATCAAAATATACATGTTTATACTTTATAAAGGATATGTTTTTGTGAACATTATATAGGCCATGAAAAGATACACAATGAAATTTACAATACTGCCACATTTAATAAGGCTGAGAAAATTACCTGACTAGATAGTACTATGTTTTGTACATACATAGATGATAAAATTTTTATCATGCTCTCTATATAGTAATATATTCATATTAAAGAATTATTGTACTTTTACTAAAGTATTCGAAAAACATAAGTATCTAAAAATGAACCAATGTAAACGAAAATTGTAGTAATTTTTACAAACATTACTAGCTTCACTATCTTCAAATTTTGTATACTTTATATACTTTTTTAATAAATGGAATTATCTCCATAACATTTGTGTGTAACAACTTGATTAAAAGTAAACCCTTAATTATAATTTCATAAAAGTCAAGACCATGAACTTGTACTTTAACTATACTTATAATCAACTCTCAAATTTCTAGGCAAAAAAAATAATGAAATATTATCTTGAAAGCTATCAATTATTAAAAGTATTTCTCTAATAAATATAAAGATATATTAAATTTGTTTGCAATACAAATTTATTGAGATAACAATATGAATGACTAATTATGTGATACAGTCTTGTATTTGTATAATGTATTATTTATAATAAATTAAAATTAAAATTTTACTTTTCACATAAATTTAGTTATTAAAACATTCAATTTGAACTTGATAATTATTTCTTGGGATTCATTCAAGACAGAGTGCATAATTTTTATTTCTTGGTAGCATGTGTAAAACACATTCTCTAAGGCCATTTGAGAAACAGAGATCAATTATATCAAACAATTGAAGTTGGAATGTGCCGTATAAATTAATTTATCACCAAACAATAAAGTATATATTCTCATATTTGTTAATTTTTTTCTTGGATATCAGTCCACTGGATTTTGTATAACTATAAGTATAAATTCTTTATCTGGTGCAACCATAATTTCATGCTTCTTACTGCGAATACGTAAGAATGTCAAATCATTTGTTGGATCCAGATCTCTAACTACAGATCGTGCTTTATCAGACAGTTGACTTATTAAACCTGCATATTGAACTGTTGTAGTATTATCCAGTGTAGACTTGATTGGAATGCCTAAATATTAGAACCGAAATATTAAATGTTGATCAAAAATTATATTACTAATTAATATGAACGTGTAGCATACCTTCGGCATTAACAACAATTGTACCGACGACTCCCTTATGTGACTGAATACGTTTCATAGTTTCCTCTACCTCTTGTGCCTTAAACAAGTGTTATATTAATTTCAAATAATTCATACAGAAAATATACAGTTCATTGCTAATGTACCATTTTCCAAAATGAATATGTTGCGTTCGATGTAACGTAGCAGTTAACTATAATGTTCGTACTTAGACTTTTAGGCGAATGTGGTAACTGGTAACTGGTAACAACAAATCGTCACCAATCGTCACTTGGATCCTTGGATCCTACCGCCTGCTAAACATTGATATATTTTGTAAATAACCATAAATAACTTGAGGATCGGATGAATAGATGTATTTGTTAACTTTCAAACGCCATCTACAAACGTGGAGGCGAAGTTATGGCGGTGGATTTCAACTTCGAACACAAATAATTAAAGACAACAGGAATTAAATATGTTTAATACTTCTATTTTTTAAGTACCACTTATGAAACTCTCATAACCCTTAACTCTCGTATTACACAGACGATCCGTTTATTACCTCTTAATAATCTATATAAATGTGCATTTTATATGACAGCATATGTTTTGCATATATATGTACTTATATGTATTAGACATTAATATATAATTAAATGTATTCTACATAGTATGACTTTTTTTATATGCAAGAATGTTTAAATTTTGCTAAAATGAGAAAACTTTATTCTGAATTGTAATATATACACCTTACACAACAGAAAAAATTGTAAAAATATAACAGTACAGATTAAGATAATTAAACTTATTATGTTAAAATTCAATGCAGAGGAACAATTAAATTGGTTCCTTGGTATTTGGGTAGATTAAGATTATATTCTCTTTCCAATTTATTAGGTACAAATCGACCACCCAAATAATGGTATTTTCCTTGAAACCTTTTAGCACATATCTTTGGTGCTGTTAACGATACCAGCATTTCTGGTTTTATCCCACCATTCATGGGTGGTCCAATCTCCACATCCCACCCTGATGGTATATCTATACTACAAATGGGAACAGTTGTATTTTCCAATAGATGAATGATAGGGATAAACTCTTCTCTCACAGGAGGTTTGAAGCTGAATCCAAACAGAGCATCTACTATGAGACCAAACTGGCACAAACGTTTTAAGGCAAAATCTTCTAAATCATCTTCTACTAAAGGAATATCATTTTCAACACACTGATGCAACAAATTCTCATATAGTGTGTTATTTGTTCTTTTAGGGTAGTAAATTTCCGGATTATATCCAAATTGTTTCAAATGTCTGGCACAGACAAGTCCATCACCACCATTATTTCCTGGTCCACAACAAACCAAAATTTTTCGTTCAGAATTTTTCAACGACTGATAACTATGAGCAATAGCGAGTGCACAACTCTGGCCAGCAAGTTCCATTAATTGGTCCACACTGAACTTATATTTTTCGAATAAATCTCTGTCTATGTTGATACTTTCCACTTGATTCAAGTACTTGACCATGGTGGTATAAAATATTCTCCCAACAGAGAAAACAAATTTGTTGTTAAAAGAAACAGGCTTTGTGCAACTGTTGATATACGATATCATCTATTAATTATGACAAATAAAAGCATATAAAGAAAAATAATGTTGTAACCTCTTACAGTACATATACTATGTATTATTCTGGTTTTATTTTATACCGAGTTTATCTCACTTAACAGTAAATTATGTTGTACATGCGTTATAATAGCCACTTTTTCTATATTTTTTATCGATTTCTCACCACACAACTTAGACTTCGACCTATGTACTTATGTATAACTGTATATATAATATGCACAGATGAGTCATGAATCTATAATTCTTTCATAACATTTTTATTATTTTCAGAGATTTTGTTATTGAACATTTTTTTGATTAAATATAATCAAAAATTTTCATTCTCGAAATGAAATAATTAACTATAATTATTGTACCATAGAAATTTAAAGACTTATACTTTCGCGATTTTTTTATGGGGGAGACTTTTTGTACAATAGGTGACATGTTATTTAAAATTCTATTTTCTCATATGTTTATTCAAGAAATAGGGACTGTAACACTTTCAATCCAAAATCAAATAGTGTTTTAATAATTACACATCAGCAGTTTTAGGTTTTTATATACTAAATGTATACTAACAATGTATGATAGTTCGATTTAATAATTAGGGCACAGTAAATTTTGCAATCAAATACATTTCTATTTTGCAGTTGGAAGGCAAAAATGATTAATAAACATACATATAGTTTTATTTAAAGAACTGTAACTTACTGCAACTGTTATTATAAAAATAATATTCATACATGTATTGTATATACATATCACATTTTGTAGAAACCATAAACAATGTAATGTTATCAATTAATGTTTAGAATAATGTGTAGTGAAATAACAAATGTAAGGAAAAACAGATTGCAAGCAACGTTGCCAGTGTTCCTATTATTAATTGTAATAAATTATGCGTTAAAGAATAAACTGGTAATTCACAAAAAAATTATTATGAACAGTTTTCAATAGAATTACGTTTAAAATTTTTAACACAATCTTTTTTAATGAACGCACATATCTTCTTTATCAGTTCGAGTGGTTTCCATTCTTTGGCATAAGGAACATCAAATTTTCTCATGAATGGACTACGCTCTTTTGTCATGTGGTATATTGATTGCAACTCAATTTCAGGTATATCTTGAGGATAGCCAGATGGAAGGAAAAAGTGCACCACAAAATGAAAATCTTCATCATTTAGCAAAACTGATACATGACTGTAGTCAAGGCTATCGTATTCAATCGTAGCACCTGGTTGAAGAGAAATTAATGTTGACACGAATAATCGTCTACTCTTGAACCTCTGAACAAATGAATTTATCTGGAATAAGAATGTATGTTAATAATAGTAAAAACATAAATGAAAGTTTAGTAATCTAGGGTTGCATACCTTTTCTGCTATACACATCTTCGCTTCTAGTACATAATCCATCAAACACTTATCACTTGGAAAATGTTGTAATTGTAAGGTGGATGGGTTACCAACAATTGGTTGTAAAAATTTAGAAATATGTAGGTGTGTTTGAATTCGATTCCAATTTGGTCCAGAAAATGTTATGAGAAGCATTGCTGTTTCATTTTCAAGTTCGAAACCATAATTTTGCAACTGAGAAAGATCAACTAGTAAAGTTATTAAGAATTTGGCTTCTGTTGGTTTCGAAGCAAATGGTAACAATATTATTTCAACATCTCCTGGTGCTATTTGACTTGAATCTATTAACATACTATATTCAAGTTTCAGTCGATCCTGCTTTTGAAGTAATTGTATCTAACATAAAAAGGAAATATATTTGATTAAATACAGTCTATATAATGAATATTATAGAATAAATATATTACAAACTTGATGTTCTTTGTAACATGCTAAAAGCTCCATGAGAACATTCAACAATGCATTTCTATCATTAAGATTCCATTTTGCAAGACTAGGTACTTTAATGGATAAAGTATCAATGTTCATATCCATTAGGAATGTGTCATCATTGAATATAAAGTCAGGGCCCATTTCGGGACACTGTGAATCAAAAAATACATTCCAATTTAAGGTTTGTTTAGCATATGGAATACACAGTTTAAAACGATCTCCTCTTGCTTTTCCACAACTAGAAGATATAGATTGTACTTGGATTGACCCACGGCATAAACCTTGAGAAACAATTAAAATAGAGCATTAAAAATATAAAACATACAATGTTTAACATAATTTAATATGCAAACTGTAGATTTTACATATTGAATTTTAATTCCAGTTTTCTAAATCTGTTGCATATGTACTGATAGACCCATGACATACAATATTATATTCTGTACCCAATTGTGTACAATAATTAGATTACGAATTTTATTATCAGAACACAATAAAATAAGAATCATGTCAAAATTTAAGTAGAAGTTCTCCTTTATATTTAACTTAAAGACCGAAGGATGTTTTTATTAGACATATATCAAAGATTTATATTATTATTTGAACTTTAAACTATAATTTGGGTAAGCATCTACATGCCTGTTAATAATGCTGTCTTACCGGGTACGTCCATTTCTAAAACACGTTTTAAGAGAGGCTCAATGTATGAATCTGTGCGATGTGTAATATTATACTGTTGGTTTAACATTTTAACAGTTGCGTTCTTTAATAACCGAAGTCACATAAACGATGCCAACAAATTCCTCCTGTATCGTATTGTTCGAATCTATGAAATGATCAGAAATGATTCTTCGTATGAAACAATCTACAATCTGTTACATTGTTTCAATGTTACAAATCAATTGAAAACAACGTATCGTTGTCACGGAAAACAATGTTTTCAAATACACATCAATACACATGGCAACTTGACGTTCCTGACCACTGACCATTTCTGACTAGAGACAGCGTGAACTGCTACTTGTGAATCACTCGTGATTCGATCACGTTCGTTCTTAATCACGATGATTTTTCACAGTGATTCGAGATTTCTCGTAATCGTTTCTGATTGGTGGAGAAATCTAACAGTTCTTTACGCGTAACAGAGAACCCCCGGTGGAACCGCCAGAGACCCCGTGGGTGAAACGAGGGGTCATAGAACCCCCAGAGGGGGCGCCAGGGACACCGTGTGTGAGACCGTGGGGTCATGAAACCCCCACAAAGGGCGCCAGAGACACCTCGAGGTGAGAACGTGGGGCCATGGAACCCCCACAGGGGGTGCCAGAGATCCTGTGTGATGAGAACGTGAGGTCATAGAACCTCCGGTGGAGGCGCAAGAGTTTTGAAATGTGATCCTTTATCGTTCTTGCTCGTACAACATTTATATAGAATTGGGACTGACGCTTCTCTGTGTCCCCGTGGACAAATTAGATAATAACCCCAGCAACCATGGCAGTTTCAGCAGATACTACTACAGCCCAAGTTTAAAAGACATAGGCAGTAGTTAGTTTCTGTAGTAACCTGTTGAACCAAACAACTATAATTAGTATAGGATTGTACAATATTTATGCAGTTATATTTAAGACAATCCGATGAAATGAAGCTTATATTACCTGACGTATGTTTATTGGAATATACATACAAATTATAATGATTCCGGCCAACTATTTTCCGGTGTAATTAAGCGCCCAAAATGATCGTCGTCGGTCTCAAATTATTCCTGACGATTTAATGCGTAAACCCAATTCTGCAGAACACCAGAATTAGTACAATTATTTATGCTACTATTAACGTTGACCCCTTATGGAGTGGTAACCCTGACAACAACAGGTTTGGATTGACAGTGTATTCCATCATGCATACCCCGTTTAGTTCACTTTAAACAACTGTTACACCGTTATACGGATAGCTTTCGTCTAGATAAAGCACTCGAATTGTAGCTGAAAGAACGTAGATTAATCCACTGCCATTGAAAATAATAATAAACGACCAGAACACTGTCAAAATCGCATTTAATTGCGGAATACCACTATTTTTTCGACCGGTGGCGCCACCCGTGGCACTTCGCTCAAACTGCTAGCCAAATTATATCGACAGGTGAGTGAAAATTTCTAGTGATGGTAAAATGCTAATATCTCAGTAATTAAGCACTTAAAATGAACGTTCTTCCAACGTTCTATGGACAAGTTACGTCTTGATCAAGCATTCAGTTTGAAGCTGAAAGTACGTAGATTAATCCACTGTCATTGAAAATAACAATAAACAACCAGAACACTGTTAAAATCGCATTTAATCGCGGAATACCACTACTTTTTCGACCGGTGGCGCCATCCGTGGCGAATAGCTGAAACTGCTAGCCAATTATATGGCTACCAGTTTCAGCGGTTCGCCACGGATGGCGCCACTGGTCAAACGAATAGTGGTACTCCGTGATTAAATGCGATTTTAACTATGTTCTGGTCGCTTATTGGTATTTTCAATGGCAGCGGACTAATCTACGTTCTTTCAGCTTCAAACTGAATGCTTGGTCAATACGTGACTCGCCCATAGAACATTGGAAGAGCTATTCAAAGTGAACTAAACGGGGTACGCATGGCGAGATACAGTGTCAAACGTTGCAAACAATTGAGATTTTAACAATGTTCTTGTAATTACTGGTTCCCACCTGCCAGAGAGTAGTAAGCTGCGTTTTTTAAACTTCGAATGTAATCCATGACGAGGAAAACTGATGCTCTTTTAGTGAAAACTCTTTTAGTTAATCTCATAGTGAAAACAACCTATTGCGCCATCTACGAAAAAATGTTGCTAGTTGCCATTAATACCATTCTGTTATTCTAGTTGGCGTAGCAATACCTATGTTTTAGACACCATTTAACAATAAAGAATAGTATTATAGAGTCATCTTGATGTGCGGCAGAGGTACTAAGTGGCTAGAAGCTTGAGAATCTTTATCGCAGTCTTGTATCAGCCACGCGAAAATATATGCACTGTATTTAGGGTTGAATCGATACCACCAAGGTATCGATACTTTTACCCATAACTACTTTTGTATGAAGGTATCGATATATATTTTCCTAACCTTGATACCCAACAGAAATGTTGTTTCTGCGTTGAGACTAAAATACAATACTATACTTTATATATTTATTTAAATATTTAATATGAAATATAAAACATAAACATAAACGTACGTATAAACTATATACGATATGCATGATAAATAATAAGTATGCACATCTCACACACATGCGGTTTCTTACGCATCTTCGGGGGTTCTATGGCCCCAGTTTCTCACACACACGGGATCTCTTACGTAGCTCCGGGGGTTGTATGAACCCACTTTCTCGCACACACGGGGTCTCTTACGGATGCACCGGGTGTTCTATGACCTCTCTTACCAAGCTTGTAAAATCACTGATAGAATGTGTCACCGAAGATGTGATTGCTATAAATATTACATTATCGAAAATATTTAATTTATTGTAAAATCATTTCGTGCAAATTAACGTAAGCCAAAAATTCTATTCCAAAAGCTGTAACAGTTATTGTCAAGGACAAAAACAGTCACCTCTGTGAAGTTAGCCGGACAACTTTAACTTTTTAACGTTTCATTGTGCCCAATTGATTGGTGGTCGTTTGGTGGTCATTGATGGCCTAATTAGAACATTTGGTGGTCCCGCGTTCTTTTGTAATTAAGGGATCAAAATTTGACCGTGAAGTTAGTCGAAAATTTTTTTTTTCGCCAGATTCAGTTTTTTAAATGCTCAATCGATGCATAATCGTTTGGTGGGCATTGGTGACTCAAGAAAGAAGTCATCCACCGAGAGAAATCAACATTAAAGCGTCTAAATTTAAGTTACTTTTAAGTTATTTATAAGACTTTGTAAAAAGGGAGGTAGATGAAAGTAAAGATTTCATCGATGTAACTGCGGTTACATAGATGGGATGGGGTTGCATCTAGCTTTCTTTGGGTCTCCACTCGTAGCAACCTCCTCGTGGTGAGACCCGGGCAATTGGTATTATCTTCGGTAAAGTATTGTAAACTGAAGGTAATACCGAGCTAATGGCTGCGAACTTAAAATTAATTTCTGTAGTTATAAGAATGAATGTAAGGTCGAATATTTTTGGCGAATGTTCTATCTTATATGAAACTTAGAATATTTTAAGGCTACATATACTTCACATCAACTTAAAATTCTTCTTCGTCTTCCGTGTTAGCAGCGTCCTCTTGTACTTCGCGATAATCCAATTCCAGAGCTGCTAAATCTTCTCTGGCTTCTGTGAACTCACCCTCTTCCATACCTTCGCCCACGAACCTATATTAAAAAAAAGCATAAAAAAGAATGCCTATAATATCAGCATACAGTGGAGTCTTACGGTATTGCCGCTTAGCCTATTGCCACGTGAGGCACTTCCCCTGCATACCTAACTTATTCAAAAAATTTTATTCACCCCATGTAACATTTCAAAGCACAACAAAATTTTTAAAAATCTTTCAAGTGCTCTGTGTATCGTCACAACTTTTCCAAGAAGCAACGCAGCGAAAATTTTGAATAAAGTATTTAAAACTAGAGATTGCATACTTTCTAACGGTTTTTTAACAATATCGATACTACCACTTTTGCCGGAGTTACGGCCGTTTAAACTTGGCCTATATTATTCGCGTTCGCAGGGGTGATCCCTTAATTTTTTTTTTTGCGGAGCGTATCTCATAAAGCTATTTTGCTTTAACATAGCTCCCTCTTGCACTGAACCCCTCGACTCTTCCACGTCTTAAACACTTGGTCGGATCTTCATGGAACGTAAGCGCGGGAACAATTACCAATGAACGAACGCCCGTTTGGCGTACATCAGGTCGAATTTGTGATCGATTCTTGCCCACGCGTCCACTATCGCCGTGGTGTTGCAGAGACAGCACACCGCTCTCTCAACCCTGGCCAGATCTCCACCCGGCACCACGGTGGGCGGCTGATAATTTATCCCCACCTGTGCGACATACAGTGTCAAAAATGGTTGTGCTCTTTCTTCCTTTTTCGCGCCGTGCACGATTTTCGCGAAAACAGTAACCTTGAAACCGGTGGGACACCATTCGACGAATTGGACGTGTTTCTGTCGTTTGATCATGGCGATCGCCGCGTTCACGTCCTTGGGAACAACGTCGCCCCTGTAAAGCATGCACACGGCCATATATTTGCCTCTGCGGGGATCGCAATTCACCATCTGATGATTCGGTTCGAAGCAAGAGTTCGTGATGTCCGCTACGGTGATCCTCTCGTGACCAGCTTTCTCGGCGGACATGACCGGCGCATACGTAGCCTGCAAGAAACGAATGAATCCTTCTTTAAATGATCCTGTATCAGCTGACTTTTCGTTCACGCCAATAGGATTATTTCACGTGCACAAAAAACGCACACTATTAACTAACAAGTAGAGATGGCTCGACAACCAAATACAGTAAATCATCGACGAGTGTTCAGACGCTATTCCCACCACTGGGCGCTTGAGTGGTTCCATTGAGATATGGTTTTGGGATGACATATGAACACTCACAGTGCCGAGGGACCTTCGAACGCTCATTGATGATTTACTGTAGATCCAACATGTTTGAACTTCTATGAGCATCGATAAGTATGGACAGTCCAAACGTAGTTTGGGCGTGTCCGTGGCGTCAAAACGAGTTTGGACATTTCCACCACGTTCGAATTATGTTTGGACTGTCGAATATTCTCATCAGAAATCCAAATATGTTTGAACGGTTCTCGTACTCGCCACTACGGTGATCCCATGTATTTTTTATTAGACTGGAACTTACTAGAGGAAAATGTATACGCGGGTAAGGGACCAAGTTCGTCTGGAACTCGGTGAGATCGACGTTCAGAGCCCCGTCGAAACGCAAGCTCGCCGTGATTGACGAGACGATTTGCCCGATCAAACGATTCAGATTCGTGTACGTCGGTCTATCGATGTTCAAGTTTCGCCTGCATAATTCGTAAATCGCCTGTGAAACACGGTCTATTCTGATTAATGGTCCGAGAACGACGGAGTCGTTCTTATATCGTCCATCTGGACTCCCGAACCAGAGTATGTTAAATGCACTTTTTTTAAAAATAATATTTTACATGTTTCACCTATCAAATTTTTCACTCTCTCCAATGGTATAAATTATTTTAATCTAAGTTGTTTAGCACTTAATATAATAGTGTACAGATGAATATCGAGTCCATATCTTATTCAATATCAAATTCCATAACTTAATGCAATGTTCACCATGCCTACATATCGAGACTTGTCTTAAGGTCCATTTTATAGCTCGAAGGTAGCGATTGTTTCTCGTTGAATTCTTATCGAACGGTTCCAATGTTAGGGATACACATGTTCGAGGCTACCCGCCTTTCCCCTACAAGGTTTTCTGCACCTTTGATTCACTCTCCTCTAAAATTTGGAAAGTGTTACATAATACACTCTGGTTTTGGGGGTTCAGACATCGGTATCACGGACACCGAATCGTTTGTACGAACTTGATTGTCGACTATGAAGGCCACCTCGCAGTGCTCTAACGTCGGGTGTGTGTAAAGAATCGCGTTGTACGGCTCCACGACGGCGGTCGATACCTGCATAAAAAGCGAACCACGATTCTCGTTATACACAGTGTGTATACTCTTGATCCGACATGGCCGATTCTTTTAACCGAATGCAAAACGGGGGACATACCGTCCACAAATTTGTCTCACCTGTGGCGCTGGATAGATACTGAACGTCAGTTTGCTTTTCTTTGGATACTCAGCGGACAGTCTCTCCATCAGCAGACTCGAGAATCCAGATCCGGTACCGCCACCGAACGAGTGGAAAATCAAGAAACCCTGCAGACCTCTGCATCGTTCCGTTAGCCTGCGGATACGGTCCAATGTGAGGTCCACGATCTCCTTTCCTGAAAACGTAACGATTATTGTATACACCAGGAACGTTACTCTCGAACGATACACGCGAATGTCGCGGACACGATTGCGTGGAACTGTTCTTAAAATACAACAACGTTCGATACCACCTATGTCTTATGGAAGGATCGAAAGGTCTCGTATGCTGGGTCGAAAGTCTAAAATAGAAACGATTAACCCTTTCATTCCCACTGTTGCCATATGGCTACGTATTTGAAATTACGATGTAAAATATTAGTATTATATTATTCGATTAAAATTATGCCCAACTCTGACCCAAGCGTACGATAAGTAGAAAAATGGTCGAATAACGAATGGCCACGTTAGTCTTGTTCGACGTTGCCCAACGTATTCTCGAAGTTGTAACAAGTTGTAACCGTACCTATCGTGTAATGGCCACGCGCGTAATTGTTCGCCGCGTCTTCTTTCCCTGTGATCAACTGCTCCGGATGGAACAGCTGCTTGTACGTCCCCGCACGAACTTCGTCTGTGGGTGCAATCGACAATTTGTTAATAGTCAGCGAACAAGATCGAGGGTTTGATTGGTATTCAAATGGGACTCGCCTACGACTGTTGGCTCGAGATCGACGAACACCGCCCTGGGTACGTGCTTTCCCGAACCTGTCTCAGAAAAGAAGGTGTTGAACGAATCCTCCCCGTAACCGACGCTGGTGTCGCTTGGCATTCGACCGTCCGGCTGGATCCCGTGCTCCAAGCAGTACAGTTCCCAGCAGGCGTTCCCCATTTGGACCCCCGCCTGTCCAATGTGAATGGACACACACTCCCGCTACAAGAATTGACAAATACATCTGTTATTTCCATTCGAATCACACACAAGACTGATCGTCTGGTCGTCTTCGACAGAGCCAAAGAATCCATGGTTCTACAGTGACTCACAGATTCGTTATTCACATATATGTACTTTCGAAACAGTAATCAATTGTAAAGATTCTTCTGCAATCCCATTTACGTATTTTCATAGTCTTCACTTTCATCATTCTTTTCTGAGAAATTCTGCTTAATTTCCGAATGAAAGTATTCGCAGTTTGCTAAGCGATAAACTAAATTATCCCTTCCATTTGGTCGAACAAACGTGACAGTCTTTCGTGAGCAAATTTGTGAGTCATTGCACAATGGACACTCGAAACGAAGAATATTTGAGCTGTAATGTACCAGCTTCGCCATTCGTATTCCATCTAGCTCCTCCAGCTTGAATAATTGCCACGGAACAGGCGTATATTAAATTCTCTCGTGTTTCCGTAAGAGTCACCTGTCTTTCACTTCGTTGTAACTTTTAAGGAATCGTTGGCACGCTTAGGCCCCTTTGTCAGGCTATTCGACGGCCACGAATTTATTTCACGCACGAAATTTCGTACAGAAATGAATACGATATTGTCGTATAATCATAAATGGTGAACCAAGAAATCCGAAAACAAGACTAATAAAACCAGAAGCAAGACGGAGGCAATAACTCGATTACAGATACTGAACGTGATAATTGATCGTGTGCCGCGTCGAATCGACTATCGTAAAACTATTAGAAAGATTATTTGTCGTGTGAACGATGGATTAATAAGTAACGATCGATCGAATGTGATTCCATTTGGATCGGGACCAGGAAACGGCACTCGGCGAACGGGAGGACCAATTGAACCGCATTTGTCTTGGCTACCCCTGGCAAGGGATGATCGCAGACTGACATGTCGATATTAACGACGTTATGGCTGTCAGCAAGTCGGTGAAGCTTTGTTCACCTTGACCTGCCAATGTCTTCGGTTAATAATTCATCTATGCCCTAACGCGACGCGTCTCGCAGTCATACCAGCGGATCCTCCCTCCCCCTGGGTTGCTCATAGCATCGAAGTCATAGTCTCTTCCGCTATATCCATACATATCCTCTGCGTGCTGGTAGCGAAAAATCGATTTTTTCAGGTTGACACGATGTAACCATAGCAGCTTTGATCGAACATCGTGCGTGACACTGTTTCACGATTCACCCGGAGGAGAGATCGTCTATCCACTGGGATACACAAAATGGCGTCGACGGTGAATTTTTAAAACAGAGTAGCCATCGCACTTGACGCATTAAGTGGACTATTTTTGTCTTGTAAATGGTATTAATGGCAGCGTAACAATCCAAATATATATGAATGCATCAATAGTTGGACATTACTTATCGAACAGATGGCCGATCATTTGAAGGATCTATAGATCATACAGATTCTACTCCGAAAAAATCTTCCATCTACACGAAAGAAAAAAGATACCAGACAAAAGTTACGGATCAATGTCAACGATTGTTCCTTTAAAGTCTATTAATGATGCATAGATTGCTATATGATCTAGGAATTATTTGCGTTTATTCGAAGATCGTTGAGGGAATCCCGTTTCTGCAACGTCGAAGCTCAAGCGCGTCGGCTACTACTGGTTTGAATGTCGAGAATCGATCTGTTTTTGCATGAAATATTTATTAAGCTTTCTACTGCACTCATTGTACTTTTTACCATCGCGACTTCGGGGGCCTGCTTTATGCAAAACGCGATTATCATTGACAGTTCCTCGATCGGTCGATTGGGATAGTTAGGGTGCGCACGATGACGGTTATACATTTGATATCCTGCAATTTTGTGAACTATCGCCTATAGTAACAGCTGGTGTCTAGAAGTTATATCTGTTATGATAGCGACAGCTTTAGACCAGATCTACCAATTTACTTTTATTTAAACGATTCTTTAAGTGACTGCGAGATGTTCTTTGGCTTCCGGATATAAAACGTTCAATTTCTAATCTGACCGATCGAAGTGCTTTGATGTAATTGTTATTAACAAACCTGGGATATTGTGATTCGTAAGAGTATTATTAAAAATCACTCACCATCGTTATCGACGTGAGACTGAAGAACGTGTCAGGACGTACCACGATCCGACCGCTGTCTGCCTCAGCGAACAGTCAGATCACTACCGCACGATATATTAATACTCGCAAGTATATAATACCCGTTCGAGGCCTTCGAAGGTGACAAACCTGACCGCTATAGTATTCGCGTTAGATACCGCATTCTCGCTCGACAAAAGTTCGAAGTTAGCATTTGGAGTCCGCGCCATTTCGTACTGGACAAGTATAATGAACTTAATTAATTTGAATCTATAATTATCGGAATATAATATATAAAATATAAAAGACGATAGTACAAAAATACGTGTCTATTATACAGAGACTGCGGATGTACATGTGAATTCCAATTTTCCAGAAAAATCAGAAGCAAAGAAAAATTGATTTCATCTATTTGTGAGTTGTTGCATGAATAATAAAACGAAAACTTTATTGATCGTTGTTAAGATTCTTGTTTCAGTGCGTTCAGTATATTTGTATTCGCTGTAAATGCGTAAACATCCGCAGTCTAATTATATGTAACATGTGTACTTATTTCTCTACTAGTATTAGTGCTTTTTATGCCCTTTTGGACTAGAAAGAGTAATTAATTGTACTCTTCGCGGGGTTTTCGTGGGAATTATTAACGGCGGCACCGATTCTTTCGGTGTACTTTTCAGATTAACTTTTATATCTTTGCTAGTACTTTCTTCGTTATAAACTAATTTGATGTCTTCAGTCTCTTCGGTCTGTGTATCGTCATTCGATTTCTTTTCTTGGACCGTAACTTGGTCCGACTTATCGTTTTTATCAAGGATATTTCCTGAATCTTTGCTAGAACGTTTCGTTCCTTTCCCAACTTTAATATCAATATCTATTGCACTGTTATCAATGTCAGTGGTCGGTAAAATTCCAGTAACGCTATTAATATTCTTCTCATTTGATCCCGCAGGCTGTTTGCAGTTGTTATTGTTAGCATGTTCCATTGGTGTGGTACGTCGGTCTTTATACTCCTCGCCCAATTCTCCTTTGTCGAAGTGTATTATAGAACAGTAACCGTCTGTCGAAGATGCTATCAAGATCTTAGCATCGCTCGACCTATAAAAAGGTGAAAGTACAAATTTGTTTCTACTTTGTTGTAAAAGAAACTCATGAGACAGATGAAATAAATGTTATACCATGCAACATCGGTCAATCTGGTATAATGGATATTTGATATTACAGCAATCGGTGAAATTTGCTGAGTGTCATATATAAATACAGAATGCTGTGTAGCAACAGCAAAGACAATTCTATAAGGTAATGTTATCACAGGTGTTGGACCATTCTTATGCAATTCAAAATAAATTGGACAACATCTCACAGCTATGGTACTTTCATCCAAAGAAGGCAACAGCATAATAGGTCTAAAATTAAGGATATATAAAAGCTAGTGCACAACAAGTGAAATGTACTACAAAAAAACACTTACTCCTTCAAATTGTGTCTTGAAAAAACTATTGTCGCGTTAGATATTCTCTCTGTAGTTTCTAATGGATCGATTATACCAGATGGTACGATAATTAACATTCCATCCGGAGAAAATGTTAGTCTTCTAAAGAATGATTTAAATGTATCATCGTAGAACAGTTTCACTGTTTTGTCTTTCAGTATATGGTCTGGTGGTGTTGGAATTTTAGCTTTATAAACTCTCTGGACTGTTTTCTTAGTATTTATATCGATCAAACGACACATCCTAAAAGTATATCTTCATATAAATATTAAAGAATATTTAAAGCAAACTTTCAGGGAAACTTACAACATACCTGTCTGTACTTATTGTGCATACGTACTGATTGCACGGATCCCATGATACTCCTTGCACAAAACCTTTATGATCAGACAATATAGCAGTGGAACGCCCTTTATGAATATTCCATAAGATTGCTGTATTGTCTACAGAACCAGATATTAACATACTAGAGTCTGGAGACCAACTGATATCATAGACATCTTCAAGATGTCCTCTGAGAACTTTCCAAGAAACCCACTGCTCCTTATTTTCAATGTCATCAGAAATAATGTGAAACTCGCAATCTTCCTTTTGTTTCCATAAAACAATAGTCGACTCTGATAGTAAAAACCCATTTAATTTTCAATAAACATCCGGCTAATTACTTTAAACTTGTAAATACAAACCGTCGTCCCCGGAGGCCAAAATATCTTTAGAGGGTGAAAATCTCACTACGTTTACAGCTTTTTGATGTCGTTCTAAATCGGTTACACATTTTATTGTCGCTCCGCCGGATTCATTCATTCTTAAATGCCATATCTGGTAATACGAGAACATGATTACACGGCTAGTTTCTTATAAATTATAAGTCCGTAAAATTATTTATGTATTACCAGAACATGAGAATCGGCACCACCGGTCGCAACACGCCAAAAAGTTTCACCTTTCGATGTTTCGTAAATTCCAGCTTGTACATCAATACTTAAAACTGGATCACGGTTGTGCCACGAAATCTCGGGAGTTGTGCACCACATAATGCTAACTGTCAAACGTAGAAGACAATAACGCAGAAATATAATAGCAATAACGGTGAATGGACCGACAGCTAACCCTTTCTATGCTGTCACATTATTCCCGCCAAAACGTGTCATAGCAATTGAAAATCCTTCCAACTTCACTGTCATGAAGCACGTGATTCAAGAAGCACCAAAAGCACGTCGAGTACCTATCGCAACCGTTTCTGCTACGGAGGCTAGTGTCGCCAGTGACGTCACACATCCGGTGCATGTGACTCCCTCTGAATATGGGTAGAGAATACACCCGAAACTGCCCGAAACAATCTGAACTGATCTGAACACAAAAATGGTGGGTGCAGAAAATGATAATCAAGAGCACAGAGACGTAGATGTTAGAGAAAACATGGATAACAACCAACAAAACGGAGAATTAGTTCCTACGGAAAATAATGAGGAGAGAGATGTGTGTTAAATTACATTCTTTTTATCATTTTGTCTACTTTATTATTCATCCTTTTCGATTGAAAACATTCGCGGCGTATCTCATCCGCAGACGAACGTACTTCGTTCAATCGTTGCATGTTGTTTCACGTGTCACGTTTAATTAAAGCGTAATCAACGAATGTCTGAATTCGTGGCATGATTCGTTCAGTTTGTAAATTCATTGATAATATGTCCACGATGCAACGAATGCGATTCACTGCAACCTGTTCTGTTCAAGGATAATGATGATGATGCATGTTTCAATTGAAGCTTATCATTTATGAAACTCTTTCATTAACATCGGTTCTCAATTTTTTGTACAGGTAAACGCGGAGGTCGACGAACAGAGGAAAAAATACCAGCCTTCGCGACTGGAGTCATTTTTCGCGATTACAAAATCTTTGATCATCCGTGCCCTTATTATTTATTTTATTAGTTATCTATTCAGACGCCCGCAACCCGATACCAATGTTCAGACATCTGGTGCTGTAAATCCGACGCGATTGCCAGCCGTAAACATATTCGAAAATGGGACATTATTTGATTTACATGTTTATCTATCGGAATCAGAGACTTTTAAACAGTTCGATGATCCAAGGAGATTAATATGGTTGGAACGGGGATTAATATACGGGGACTGGTACAGTGGACCAGATAAAGATGGTCAGAGAGTATTTCAGTACAAATTTGCTCCATCAAATCAATTAAAGAACAATGGGTCTATATATCTTCATGTATATGTAACCAAGAGTGGAAAGTCCCCTAATCCTAAAGCAGGAAAAAATATTTATGCTGGAGATTTCATGTCATATTCTGGAAAGATGTTAAATAAATTTAAGAAGATTAGATATCAGAAGAAACATAATATATACACACACACACATACATACACATATCACTTCCCAGATATATTCTGTGAATGTAAAATTGAATATTAAATGTTTGTTGTAGAAAGCTGAAGTAATGAATCAGGAGTATGTGTCACATTGGCATCCCAATTTAACAGTCAATTTGGTAATTGACCAAACAAATTGGGCTTATGGTCAAGTGCCACCACCATTGGATACATGTAAGTTCTTTGTTCAGTATTATGTACAAAAGATACATGTTAATAGCACCTTCTTTTTTTTTTATTTGTTCAATAGACATTCACTTTTTACCTGGTGAAACGTTTTACAAGCCTGTAATATACACAAATGATTTCTGGAATATGCAAAGGGACTATCAGCCTTTGAACGACACCGTCAAGGAACTTGAACTCAGATTAACTTACCAGCCTCTTTCATTGTTCAAATGGCAAATTTATGCAGCTCAATCAATGAGAAATAAGTGGACGTCTTCATTCATGGGTATGTTGTATCACTAATATTATAATATAATTTATTGTAAGTATAAATAGATGATATTGACAAGATTTTTTATACAGGGGAGTCATCGGATGAAGATGAAAACGATGAAGATACTTTGAAAGAAACATTATTGGAAACAAATCCGTATTTGTTGGGTCTAACTATAGTTGTATCAGTATTACACAGTGTATTTGAATTTTTAGCATTTAAGAATGGTAAGATGCAACTTTTTATATAAGTATATGGTATTCAGTTTCAATTCACTTTATACTATTTTATCATACATTCTTTTTTTCTTTCAGACATTCAATTCTGGAACAATCGTAACTCCTTAGAGGGTCTATCGGTTCGGTCTGTATTCTTCAATGTGTTCCAGTCGCTAGTTGTGTTATTGTATGTCCTTGATAATGAAACGAATACGGTTGTCCGAATTAGCTGTGCGATAGGTTTATGTATAGAAGTGTGGAAAATTAACAAGGTAGTAGATATTAGCATAAATAGAAATTCAAAGGTTCTCGGCGTCTTTCCAAAAATAAGTTTCCAAGACAAAGGGTCGTATGTGGAATCTTCCACGAAAGAATACGACAGGCTCGCCTTTAAATATCTATCTTGGGCTCTGTACCCTCTTTTAGGAGGATACGCGATCTATTCGTTAATGTATCTTGAACACAAAGGATGGTATTCTTGGGTCCTTAATATGCTTTATGGATTTTTACTTACGTTTGGATTCATCATGATGACTCCACAACTATTTATTAATTATAAACTGAAAAGCGTAGCGCATCTTCCATGGCGTATGATGTCTTACAAATTTTTAAATACATTTATCGACGATATTTTCGCATTCGTTATAAAGATGCCAACACTATATAGAATTGGTTGCTTCCGTGACGATATCGTTTTCTTCATATTTTTGTACCAAAGATGGATATACAAAACTGATCATACTAGAGTGAACGAATTCGGTTTCTCTGGCGAAATGGAAGCCAAGATGACTAGCGATAAAAAACAGGAAGCTATTATGGATCGTCCGAAAGATGAGACAGCAAAGAAGAATGAGTAACATACGGTACATAATATTAGCGTTGAGTGTATTATTCGAACTTTATCTGAAATTAATAAATTAATTAGTACCAAAGGATATATCTACACGCAACAACGTGTATTTCTGTGAATTTGATATGACTGGGTGTGTATGTATACATTCTTTCGGTTTCGAGATTTAGCCAAATAAACAAGCCTTGCAATGATACCGACACTCTTGGATGCAGGAGTATCGATATGCGTTGTATTAGGCGAAATATCAGAAGTTTACCATGTATATTCTTTTAGAAAACAATTCTTCATTGTTCTTAGTTCCGAATTTTGCGTTCAACTTTTGCGATTTTTAAACGTTTTATAACTGTTATCGCCTCGTACGACCTTGAACAAATATAAAGTTTATTTCAATATTTACAAAATATTTAAAAATGCGATTCCCTGTTCGTATACGGAAAAATTGAAATCGCTCGGATTGCATCTGAATAATTTAAACGACAAGCGATAATATATTCTTTGCGCATACAGTGAGGTATTCAAGTATTCATCACACGAGAATGCAGAGATAAAATGAACTGTGTCTTTTTATGTTATTCAATTTAAATATACATTTGTAATTTATAATCAATCTTTGAATAAGAGTATTAATACATTGTTTTCAGTTACTACGTAGTAATGCTGCCACTAATATTTTGGGGAACTTACTTTTCATTGAAAGTTTTTGCATTCCATTATTGAATTATTAACATTATTAATATTTTAGCAGAATAATTTTAGAAAATGACTAATTCAAAGCCACTGAGTGTATAAAATTTGTATCCAATTAGGTCAATTTCTTTTGTGATCACAAATTCCCATAATTAAATACAGTTATGCATATGAAAGAATATCTTTATTTTCATGGTTTAGTTGTATGAATAGTTCTGTTCCTCACTGTACATCACATTCATAAAATTTGGTTGGTATAATTCTTGTGTTAAATCTGGCACACATACAAAACTACTGCAAATTATTTTTACCGAAAATTCTAAATAAATAGAGGCTCGCGCAACGCAAATGTTAAAAGTTTTATTGTGATCGCTTTTAGATACAATTATAATTATATATTGTTTTTAATAAATCAATGTCTCTAATTAATGATTATCTAATAAGTTTACGTTATATTCATCTATAATTTACTATTAAGTTTCATTTTATGTAACTTGTACCGTTAAAGGTAAACCGAATTGATGGATAATACAAAGAAAATTCATGTATTATGTATTAATTTATGTAATAATGACAGAAATTTTATGAATTAAAATACGTTCATAAATTTGGTATTATTTTTTAAACATATTTTCTTAGTATATAAACATATAAACCCTAGGAATTTATGTACTTCTAATACAGTTTTCAAATACATTGAAACGTGAACAATGCGAGAACTATTATAATAAAGAAATATGGGAGTAAACATGTTGCAGTATTTCAACCTCGACTTTGTTTACAAATAATACTGGTATAATTTGATACACAAATGTTCCTGACTAAAAAGATAAATTATAATAAAGTGAATTATTAGTAATTATCATGATTATATATTCCCCGTTATTAATTTTCGTAATGTTTTTATTTTTACGTTCCATTTCGTATAAACAAGAGTATTTTGAAAAAGTTATACATACGTATATAAACTTACTTGCATTAACATAAGATGTTACTTAATCTCAGTTTGTTCTTCTTATTGATTTTCGTTATAAAACTTCACTGAGAACATATTTAATATGATACTGATTTATAGAATCATTACGTTTGTATAACACAAAGAAAACAACAATGTTATGTTCACATGGCTACCTATTTGTACAAAAACACCGTAATAATGGATATGTACTAGAGTTACAAACAGTCTAAGATACAAATTTTTATATACATTATTTTCTTATCGTGCTCAAAAAATACAATTATCTCAAGATGAAACCGAGACTTTTTTTTATTTGCAATTGTTCATATAGTATCCTGTTTAGCGCCATACCAGCTGTATCTGCTCCGTTATATAGTTAAATAGTTGTCAAAAAGTAATTATATTCAAAGTAGTGATGCGTGTTAAAATATTGATCATCGAAAGATTAAAAATACTATTCTTATTGCATAATAGCACCGCGCAGAGTTTTCGTTAAGGCGGGAAAGACCGTAAAGAAAATAGCTTGAATGTGCAGAAATACTATTGTCGTGGTATTCTACAGATTGCATGGCACTACAGGAATTCAAATACTATATGTAATTAATGTACAATATAGTATCTAATAGTATAGTATTTAGACAATTATAATATCATTGAGTATAACGTGATAGACAAATTATCAAAAGTAAAGCCTTTGTACTATACATAACTGAAGCATTAATGTTTCTTTAAGAACATATTTACAGAATGTAAAAATGCATTGTAGTCGTCCCTAATAGTGCAGTTTCGACTAAGATACTTAAGTATTTTATTCTGTTTAATGAAATTCGACAAAATCAACAACACCTGAAGAAACAACAAAGGTAAATAATGCTATAATAATGAAGTACTTTCCCTCGTGATAAAAAATAAAAATTAAGTACAACGAATTAAAATTATGTTATTAATTATGGAGTAACTAAAAAATACTGTTCTATTTTGTACGTCGCACAGGTTTCATATGCAAGTGTAAGCCTGAAAGGCAGCTTTCGTTTGACACTATTGAAACATTCTTTAACACGTTCGTTACCACGCGTCGATGTATTTGTGACAATCGTAATCTTATATTTTGCATCGGAACAGTCCAGTGGATTTTATGTGCATTATTATTTAAGATTCTGATGTACAACACAACATTCAGAAATGAATGAGGCATTTTCGTTACGTTTTTTTTTTTTTTTTTTAATATTTCATGGAAGGTACATTCAATAGGATAAAATATTGGAAATATAGTGGTCTGTGAAAACAGTTAGAAAAGCAAATTGTGACATTGAACGTGTTAAATCTCTGCACATAAGTCTATAAACTTATACTATTCAGCACAGAACGTGCTGCTAAAATGGCAGTACTTTAAGTAACGGATATCCGTACTACTTTATAAGTGAGCTGTGTCTGACAATTTTTAAACGTGTCGTAAGATCTTGAAAAATGTTGTCCTACAAAACTTTCTGACCATTTCAAGCCTAAGCATATTTCGTATTGTTCTCTATACAAGTGAATCACTATGCTCCTTTTCCTCTCAAGTGTGTTGTCATAGATTAAAAACTTTCTCTATTAGTGGCATCGCTTATACAATACCAATAGTGATATAAATTTGATTTAATTTACAAGGCCTGCATCTTTAGCGATATTATGAAATAAGCTAGATGAGTTACGGAGTAAGACTTCCGGAGAATCGTATTCCATTACACGTCCATTATCCAGGACAATGACCCTATAAAATATTCATCATTTAGTATTGATCGATGTTTATAAAAATCATACTATAATCTTGTGATAATTACCTGTCGGAGTCGAGGATTGTATTAAACCTGTGGGCTATTGTGAGAACCGTGCAATCTTTAAACTCTTGCCTAATTGTCGTTTGAATTAAGTCATCAGTTTCGAGATCAACTGAAGCTGTTGCTTCGTCAAGAATAAGTACTTTTGTTTTTCGAAGCAGAGCCCTTGCTAAACATATCAACTGTCGTTGACCTATACTTAAGTTATCTCCGCCTTCTGTTACTTCATGTAAAAGACCACTTGACAAACCTAAAATGTAACGTAAATGTAGGTCCATTCTATATCTCGCCTTTGGTGGACCACTGTACTGATTATTTGTTACGAAATCAACAAAAATTGCAATTACTTTTGATAAAACTCTTCAAATGTGCATGTTCTAAAGCTCTCCAGATTTCGTCGTCAGAATGATTATTAAAAGGATCTAAGTTCATTCTTAAACTTCCAGAGAACAATATAGGGTCTTGAGGTATAATAGTCAGTCTAGATCGTAAATCATGAAGACCCAGTTTGGCGATATCAACATCATCGATTGAAATTTGTCCCTCGGCTGCTTCTATTATTCTGAATAATGCCAACGTCAATGAAGACTTGCCAGCGCCAGTTCTACCGACAATACCAACTTTCTCTCCTCCATTGACGGAAAATGATAATCCACGAAGTACAAGGTCTAGACCTTCCCTGTAACGAACTTTGTAATCTTTGAACACAACGTGCCCTTGCATAGGCCATTCTTTGGACAGCGCAAAGTTTGGATTCTTCCATGGCGCCTCTTGGGGCGTTTCCGTATATTCTTTTATTCTCTCCACTGCTACTATATTCGTCTCAACATCAGAAGTCATTCTTACCAACCAATTTAATGTTTGCGTGACCTAAGCGAATAGAGAAAATGTTTCTTGTAATCTGTTTTAAAAGTACAGGTATTCACTAAAACAAAATGTTTTGTCTTACTTGTAAAGCATAACTGACAGATAGACCAACCATACCGGGTTCCATACTATCTCTACTCAATACAGCAAAAAATGCAGAAAAGAAAATTATTAAGTTCCCAACCATTTCTAAACGTATCGCCAACCACCTATGAAAAACCGTTAATAATATTTCATGTAAATATACTTTTCTACCACTAATATTTCGATGAAAGTTATACCTATTTGCGATTATGCTAGGGTAGTAACAGACTTGATTAAAATCCACTTTGCTCTCAGATTCATGAATAAATCTTTCTTGCACCCCGAATGCCCTAATAATCTGTGCTCCTAATAAAAATAGAAATAGATATTAAATATTACAGTATATTAATTATTTGGAAGTTATGTAGATTACATGAATTATGTACAAGCTACTGTTTACATACCAGATACTGACTCACTGAAATGTGAATATATGGGCGATCTTGAAACAGATTCCAAACGCTTCAGTTGTCGTGAACTAGCAACATACAATCGTTGGACAAAGTAATAGACTACACCTATCGGTATTATTACTGCCATAAATATGGGTGTGCTGAAACTTATAACCACTAGAGTTGCTGTGACCTGTAATTCAAAGGTGTTGCTTAATGTTTGATACCATTAAATGGTGTTTTTAATCTAATATACGACATAAGGAACGTAGAAATAAGAAATACGAATGAACGTACGCACATAATATAAATACCCGTATAGTTCACGTATGCAATCATAAAATGATAATAACTGTGTAAAAGGAGAATTTCAAAATAAACGTTCATGCAAACTGTTGGATGAGGCAATCTTATCTAATTTTTTCTGAACACCAACGTGTAACTGAACATGAAACGTAATCCATTTTTTCATGTTTCTTTTAATGGTATATCAACATATAACATAGTTACTCTTAACTTTAATATCTTAAAATAAATGTGTAGAACACATGATGTATTATGAATGGTACACAAGTATGAAAATGGTAATTAGTGTATACTTGAACAACTGTTTTCAATGCAGACCACACTTTTACCATGTTTGCCACATATAATACATTAAACAATGACTACTTTGCTGGAACGGACACAATTATACTCAATTGCAGCTTATATTATATATTGTATAAACGCAATTCATTTCTAATTAGGTGTACATCAATTGTACATTTTACCCTGAACATTTAAAATTTCTTAAAAGCAGCCAGTGAAGTACTGAAATTGTAAGACACACCACTTTAAACACTAAAACGTTGCTGCACAAAGAAATGACTGTGATTCATGTAGTTAAATGAGACATACTTAAAGCATAATATCAATACAAACCCTTTGATAAAATGGAATTCTACAAGGGTGGACCCAATAAATCATGACTGAAGGAGTTATAGAAAAGAAATAATTAAATAAAGAAAAAACCAATCATCGTAACCTGATTCAGGTATTTTCTAAGAATTACCTCAAACAAGCAATAGATGCTATCAGAAATTTGTTGAGGGAGAGATGTGTCCAATATGTCGACGTCTTTAGCAAACCTGGAGATAATACGACCAGTAGGAGTCGTATCAAAGAAGGTCAATGGAGAACGCATCACAGCACGCAGCATCCCTACGTGCATCTGGCGAGCAGCCAGCCAACAGCCCAGCTGCGGTGCCAAATCGCAGAAAAAACTCGCCAGCGCTACAACATCAGACATGATTGCCTTTCATTGTAACCGCATTAACAGAATTTCGAATTTCATATATTTTGAAGTTGATAAAGAAAACAAGTGTTCCGATACTTTCAAAATCTGAAACACACACTGAACAATTGTTTCTTTCCATTCAACATTTCTATGCACACGTCTAATTCGTTACAATGAATTCGCCTTTTCTAAGTAAACTTTCATAATACCTGAGGTTCTTGAAATCCTATTCGTTTCTAGTATGCACGAGCAAGTGAAACAAATACTGGTTTAACATAGAAATTTGTAATACCAAAAATTAAACCAAAATGCTGTTCTGTCTCATGTTAAGCGAGGGGGTGAAGTTTGCTGTGCAGTAGCATGCTAGGCACATATATAATGAAACACAACGCGTATTAAGCTGTATGGTATTTAAAATGTTAAACGATTCACCTACTTGAAAAGCTCTTTGGAATGAAAAATTAGTAGCCGTAAGCCTCTTAATAAATTTTTTCATTCTCAGTAGCAAATTATAATTATGAGTCAATGAGGCAACCGAAAAGTAACATAAGTTCCCTTATGAATAAGCACTAACATTGAAAACCCTATTAATAGACTTCCGAGCAGAAAAGTATAAAGCATATTATGAAGGAAAAAGCAAATACATGTGAATTTTCAAGCACAAACAATCTTGTTCTGCTTAATAAAAGTTAATTTGTATAATTGTGTCCATTACCTAATTACGATGTTACACTGCTGCACAGTAGCTTTACATATAGATTGCTGGTGACTGTATAAAAACAGATAAAAAAGAAAAGAAAAGAGCGACTTAATAATTCCAAATTTTTCTTTGAATAAAACTTAGCTAGTAGACAAACTAAAATTAACATACATTAAAATTAATTGAACCCAAAATACAGTCACGATATAACCAGATTTTCATAAATAATTTCATCGTAAGTTAATGTTTCCAATATACTGAATAATTGTGAATTAATTTATACAGTGACATCCAATAAAATTGAATTGGTATCTAGTGGAATTAGCGTGTCTATGTGTGGCTCTATTTGATTTAACTTGTGGACAATTCTCTTAACTTAGTTTTCATACCGTTTTTCATACAGTTACTATATCTGAACTTCCATTATATCTCCACTTCCATGAATAAAAAAAAATCAGAAAATATCAGCTAAAACATTGAACTTTCGAAGGAAATTTTAGAAGAGCTTAATTATCAATTATTCATAGAGGCTGTATTATCAGAGTCATGATTGCAATTAGCAAACGGTTAACAAACGTCACGGATATGTAACCGTTCGATAAACTTAAGGCATAATATAATTTTACACGAAAAATCATTATGTGTTAAGTACAATATTTACAACGAGAATATATCATACCGAAAAAAGGCAACTAATCCAAGAACGTAGTATAGTCGGTAAAACGTTATCAATGACATCGGTGTCTTTACTGAGTCGACTAAGAATTCGACCAGTTGGAGTTTTGTCAAAGAATGTCATTGGGTTGTGGAGAACACGTTGCAACATATACTCGAAGAGGCGCACAGATGCATATATTGTTCCTTTTGCCAGTACTAACGACCCAGCAAACGTTGTCAAGCCTACAACGATTGGTGATAACTTTGGTGTATTAGACCTAACAGTTGTATCAGAAATTTGCTACAGTTCTTGCAATATTTGCATCTGATATTAAGAAAAAGAAAACTAATTCATTTAATGATCCCACAGTTATCTTCGACTCTGATTATCATCTTTCTAACACCATGTGCAAGTTCCTTACTGCAGTCACACATGTATTGAGGAGGAATTTACAATTAAACAAAAAAGATTATTATGATGTACATTACTAATGAAACGTAAATCCCATCACAATTTATCTAGGCAATATAAATGAAGTAGTGAACATGCACTACGTTATACATACTACTATCTGTCGTATCACTATTCGCATTCATAAATAATATTAGTTTTTAATATAGTTAATCTTTCAAACAGAACTATGCGATGTAAAAATTTGTTCTAATGTGGAATTTATTATATTAATGACATTCTCAAAGTAATCAACGAATCAATTTAATTGTATTGCATCGATAACACGTAATACTGTCGATTATAGCAATTTGCTTTTTTTAATTTAGATACAATTGTAGAACTGCTACAAGCAGTTGACAATTTAAATATAAATGGTACCTCGATTCTAGGCTTTAGTAATGAGTAAGCAATGAAAAGCTTTATTGGTTCACTAGACCATGCTTAAATGTTGTACTAACGTTAGTAGAATTGTTTAATTATGATGATTCTACTCTATCAATTACAAGAGACATGTACATTTGAATTAACGAATGAAGAAATAAAATACATGCGAAATATGAATTACTTAATTTCGGATGTGACAATAGTCGAAATAGTTGCATTTAAACATATATTACTACAAAGCTTTACTCTGCCTATAAATATTCTATAGACACAGCAAACCACACTCGTACTCTTCGGATACAAGTTGGATTTCGTTAATGTTTTAGCTCTAACTATTGTGTAATACAATTTGAAAAATTAGCGAATTTAATGTACAACTAGTTAGTAAGAATTATGTACATGTTTATCCATGTATGTATTGTTCAAAATTAATAAAAAAAAAATCACCCCAAAACTGTGTAATCTGTGAAGGAACATGCTCTTTGAAAACTTTCCACTTATATCATTGTCAGGAATAAGCTTACCTTAGCAAAATGTACTTTACAAACATTTTGTTCTATAAAAATAGCTAGTATACTTAATCTCAGTGAAAAATTGCTAAATATCGTAAAATATTCATACACTTGTTAAAAACATACCCTGACCAAGACCAAGTCCACCATACACTCCGAGATACAGATCCTGTTTCGCTCTATCGAATGTATTGTTATCATCTGTTAAATTATCATTTGACCAGACACTCAGCCAAGAATTTGAGCCAATACTAAATCCTTGATAAATAGCATTCATTATGATAGTCGCTATCGATAAGAACCATCCAATGGATTTGAAATAATGAGAATACACTTGCCATTTGACCTTATTAAAAAAAAAATACAATATAATAAATACGCATATAACGACTTCTCTAAAAAAAGACAAGACAACATTGACTTACACTTCCCGTTTCAGTTTTTTCCACTTCTATTAATTTATCATTCGGTTGTGTCAATTTTTCACTTACACTGTTACTACGTTTGTAACTACCTGAGTGTTGGCTGTCCGTGGAATATTGTCTGAAAAATTTTGTGGAAACATGATAGTGAAACAAATACACTGTAAACACAGAGGGAGAAAAAAATCGAAGTAATAACGAAAGAATCTTACCGTTTTAATGAGCCATTTAAAGATCTTCTCTCAACAATAGAACCGGATTCACTTTGACTTTCTGACACTCTCGATCTGGTTCTTGACAATTTCTGTTGTAATTCTTCCGATCCTATCGTTGATTCCAGTTGTTGTTTAATTTCACTTAAATCTGCTTCTGAGCCATCATCAGCATACACTGTTCCAAATTTATTATAGTAGATATGAAGTAATATGTCATATTACAATAATGCATTATTATAGTACGAAAAAAAATAACACGCTACTAATAGAAAATCGTAACAGCAAATCATATGTATGTTAGTAGTAATATTTTAAGAGAAAATGAATCGTAGTTATTTAAATAATGTTTCCATGACACTCTGGTTTAAATTGAACATGCGCTACACAAAAGAAACGTCCTGCATGCATGTCAATATTGCGCTAAGTGGAAATAAAAAATTTACACAGGAAGTGGCTTCATACTACGAGTTGGCTGGTAAGTTTTTTTTTTCTTTGTAACAGCGTAATCGCAAAAAAATACTAACATCCTTGATACTCTAACATCACAAGCCAAATGCAATATGTGCCATTTTCCGGACAATCACGTTAGGGAAAGGAATCGTAATTACTTTTTTCACTGACTTACGATTTCCAACTTAGAACCATGAAAAATATAATTGAAGATTAATAGAGAATACGGCTAAGAAACTTAAGGAATAGAGGAATTGATGTTATACCTTCTTGGAGGTGGTGCAACAAAAATTCAGAAAATGCTCCCCTTTTCTCCAGAAGCTGTTTATAACTTCCGACTTCTGTTATCTCGCCATCTTTCAGAACGATTATATTGTCAACCTCCGGTAAGAAGGTGATGCCATGCGTAACAAGTAACCTTGTCTTCTTCTTGAGCAGACCACTGTTACCTATCACATTTTCAAAGATGTGCTTTCCAACGTGTGAATCTACCGCGCTTAAAGGATCGTCCAGGAAGTAAATGTCAGAATCATAGTATACTGCCCTTGCTAATGCCACTCTTTGCTTTTGCCCGCCAGACAAATTTATACCCTTCTCTCCAATTTCAGTCTGATCACCAGCAGGCAATACTTTCAAGTCTGGATTCAATGCACATGCTTCGATTATACGATTGTACGAACTCTTATGCAGTGGCTTTCCAAACAAAACATTTTCTTGCAACGATGCGTTTTGTATCCATGCTTGTTGGGACACATATGCAATCGAACCCTGTATCGCAGAGGAACAAATTTATATGAATGTATTACATTGTTTGTAATAGACACTCTTATAAGATTACGGTGAAATTTCGATTATCCGTCACTCTCTGTTAAACGTCGTAACAGTTTTAATCATTCTTGATGTTAAAAGATCTTGTTGAAGATATTCTCACCATAGTGTTCACTCTGCCACTTATTTTGTCCATTTCTCCTAGAAGCGCTGATATAAGAGAACTTTTACCAGATCCCACTGTACCGACAACAGCCACCAATTGTCCTGGATTTACTTGTAGATTGATATTTCGTAACGTCGGTTTATCAACATTCTCTGTATCCCACGTGAAACTACCATTCTCGATATGTAGGAGATGTGCTACATAATATTATATGGTAATATTATAGTGGAATATTGCATACATTATATAATACATAATAAACAGTGCAATGCGATTCCTTTAACTACATAAAAAGCAAGAATTTATAGACTTACACTCGGATGGATCGTGTTGAACGTTACTGGGATCCAATTCTTCCGAATTCATGAATTTGTTAATACGTTTCACAGAAACCCAGGCCTAAATATGATTAACGATTATTATTAATGGAACAAGTATGCGCGTTACAATTGGACTAAAGTATTATCAATTACCTGAACCATGTTACCAATCATCATAGGTAATATAGAAAGAGGAAACCTCAAGATGTTAAACAGACTGAGCGAAACGAAAGCAACAGTACTATTTAAATGGTTATTCTCATCGATAAGTACATACGTTGCGAAGGATACTAATGACACCTACAAATTTTCAAGAAATAATGACACATGCCATTTTCTCGTATTTATACAGATTAACGGAATTTAAAAATAAACTTACTAAAAACGGAGCGAAAGACCAGATGAAACTTGTCGCAGAATTATGGTATGCTGCTTCTTTTAGCACTTTGATCTCTTTCGTACGTATCTTCAGTATTTGCTCTTCAAACGAAGGTTCCCATGCGTACAACTTTAACACTTTTATGCCATTAAGAACTTCACTCATTAATTTAACTCTCTGGTCTTTGTTTTTCATTTGTCTGATTTGCAACGTTTTTAGTCTATTTGTGATTAATAAATTTACTGGAATAAGAATAAGTAGAACAGCTAAACCAGCGAGTACTGCTGGCCCGAGTTGTTCCCACAAAAAATATAAGGCTAAAACGATTTGCAGAGGCGCAGACCAAATCATATTTATGTACGCTGTTAAATCCATGAATCTCTGTGCGTCCACGGACATTAAGTTTACTATTTCGCCGAGTGTCGACTCTTTTCTGGCAGAATTCGACATTCTTAATGCCTTTCGATAAATTGCAGCTGTTAATGCAGTACGTACACGTAATCCAACTAAGAACATGCGGTGAAAGTACTGAGACAAAATTAATGTTTGAAATATGGCTGTAACTAGGAGTGAAACTGCTAACAAATAGCCCTTCCACATTGATTCGCGTTCCTCAATAAAACGAATGAGTAGTCTAAATAAAAAAACAATGAACAATTATAATATACATATAATTATGATTCTAATGATTTTACTAATTTCAGGAATACCAAACTAATTATTCAAAGTAGAAAGGACCATGCCGAGATACACCAAGATACTTACTTCAATATTTGCGGGCTGGCGAAAGTCATAATGTCTTGGACAAATTTAAGTGCGGCTGCGAATAAAAATGTAGCACCGAAAGCTTTACAAAGAGGCGGTAAAACTGATGACACCTTCCTCTTATGGCCACTATTGAAATCTACTTGCCCAGAAGACTTTCTAAATGACGCCTTAGTGTCTTGTACGCTAAAATAAAATAAAAATTATATTTATGCAATTCACTGAATCAACTTGCTTTAGTTACAATGTGTAACTAACATTTTTTCACTATGTATTTTAACTTACCTAAAGCAAGTCCAAAATACTCTTGTTAGCAAAAGTAGATTGATATTTTATTACTAATGAAATTGTATATATAATGATTTTGTCTTGCTTATTATTATTATTATTGTTTTTCTCATTTATTATTAAATATTTACAAATTTCACACTCACTTGTCATTTTTGGGTGCATTCTTGTTCCAATATTTATCAAATTTTGGTACAATTTCTGTAGCACTATCTTCCGTGTTCATAGACCACAAGTCTGTAGTTTCCAAAGGTTTTCTAAACCCTTTCCATGCCATTGGCTCGAACCATGTGAAAAATATTTTTGCTGGAAAAGAAGAGCTTTGTTCTGGGCATGGTTTCTCCCCCTGTTACATTTAATAAAGAAAATTAAATCATAATATTCCCTATTTTCCTACTTAATACTTTAAGGACAAATTTCCGACAATACAAAGGATGTTTATATTTAAATACAGTATAAATATAAACATTTAGATAGAAAGTTTATTTTTTTTCTAATTCAGTAATCTTTTCTTTCTTTTTCTCTTTAGTCTTCAAAGTGTTTAAAGCTCAGGCAAAAAACTATTTAATGTGTAAAAATTAATGTATAAGAATTAACAGTATGTATATAAATTAAATTACCTTTGGGTATTCAGAATATTTAGGTTCTGCATCAGCCAGAAAATTCAACAAGAACAGAATTACAACCATTGGATAATATATCATGTATGACAAAAATGAATAGGTAGCTGTTCCCTGAAAGAATAATAAAATGACCTTCATTTTAGAATACACTTAGAAAGAAACATTAGCACACCATATACACAACCAAGGGAATATAAAAGATATAAATGTGTGTAATATAAATTAGAGAACAATTACTGTACCTCATTGATGTACATCCTTAATAAACTTCTATACTGAACAATTCCACAAACTACCAAAAGAAACCAAAACAAAAATAACAGTCCAGAGGTTCTCATTCCACGTTTCCTATTATATATCACTAAAGTGGATGCTAGAATCTATAACAAAAAATAAAACTAACACTATCAAGTTGCAGAAGTTCCTCGAGGATCAATAAACTTATAAAATCATACTTACAAAGGAAATGATTTTCACAAATGGTGTACAATAATCAACAGCATAAACTGTTTCATAAGAATTTTTGTGTATAGTCTGCCCTAAGTCAATGATACTAAGTACAATCAATGCTACTATAAGTACTTGTTTAGAAATATATAACCATGTGCACGGAATATCTTTCTTCTTGCTATTCATAAGGTAATACACTTCAATTGCAGAAAACATCCACAGAAATGCACATGGTACCCATATTAATATCGTTTTCTGAAAACATTCTGGGATATCTGGATCCTCTGTATTCCATGCTAAATCATTATCCTGAAATACACAAAGAGAAGTATCATTTGTTTACTTCTTTCATTTAACCCCTTCTTTGTACAATAAAGTAATTAGGAACAACAAGATTCTATTTTGAACAAAGCATAACCCAAACTGAAATTGTTTACATTAATTAAAAGAAAAATTTAAATTTTCAGTAAAAGTAAGAAGGCTGTATATGCACAAGGTTTCGGATGTTATATCTTTAACAATCGAAATGATATCTTTCAAAAAAGTTTCTTCTGTGTTAACAGACCACCCTGAATACATTTCAATCTCATGATTGAACTCATGAGATTGGAGTTGTGATATTGAAATATATATTAATTGGACGGGTCAATGACCCGATCGAGGAGATACTTGATAATTTAAAAACAAGAGATAAATTTTAAACAGAACAGGCGGTCTCACCCAGAACTTGGAGCCACAAAATTGATTCACGGCTTGATCCTCCATAATGATACATTTACTTCTTTATTATTTTCGTTGTTTGTTAGTCGATTATATTTCTATTACACTGATCGTCCTTCTTGACACGTTTTCATACTTAATTAAGTTGCCCGAATCGGATATCTCGGATCACAAGTGACTGGCCACAAGGCTTTCGATCAAATGTACCACAGACTTACGCGATCTATTGTCTTATGTGACTAATGACGACGACCACGACGACCATGAAACTACCATCCGTCCCCTCTCTGGAGCAGACGCGAACTGTGCCCGAACCGCTTCTGGTTTACCTTATAGTCATTTCTCCGGTTTATTTGTCCAATCGCAACACATTACGTCACGTTACTATACTGATAGAAAACCCTAAAATACCGGTTCTCTTTTTGAAAAAAGAAAAAGGCAAGACATCAATATTTGAATCAATTAAGTCAAGATTCTACGGAATTATACGGAAAGATTCTACGGAAGAATATCTTTCATGGTACGATATGTGTCGTGACGTCATAATTACTAAGCTGCGGATCTTCATGCAAATGTACATTTTTATAGATTAATTTAGAACAACAGGATTTAAATAGAATTTTATTCTCTGTTCATGCAAGCTTTTTAAACACAAAATACTGATAGTCTCGACCACACTGGAATACTTCTTAACATTTTACTAATTTTGTATCACTTTTTATTTCAGCTAATGAAATCATATTTAATTGTATATGATAATAAGTTCATGTTATAATAATATAAAATTTCCTCTGTAGAAGAAGATTCCACGTTAGAGTGTACGTCGTATCCAACTTCATATACAAGTATCATCGTTAAAGCATTATTTCTTTTCTTATATACTGCACACTTGCATCGCGCTATAAACTTGTAAAATTCAGTTTGATCATAACACATTTCGCTATTATCTACTATTGAATTACGAAAACTAAAGGCGTATCGTACTGACATGTATGATACAGCTTATAACTTGTTGCGTCATTATCAGGGTAGCATGACTCGGAAGTTTCTCACTGTAATCCATCATCATTTAGTACGATGCGTTAAGAATTTTGAGAAAATTGATTATTGAATATCTTTATTGAATACAACGAGAAACAAAATGCAAATTATCTTAATTATTGGGTGTTGATCGAACGACAGAACAAAGTAAATATCATCATAAATTGTGAAATAAATTTTGTTACTATGTAGTTGTTCTGTTTGTGTATAAAAGTTAGCATTACAATAAATTGTAACAGAACAAATTCTACATTCAAAATACATACGCCTTTGACGTTATAAAGTAATTACACATTACTGAAGGCTAAATTACTGACATTTGACTGTATTTACTAAGGTGGTCCTTGAGTTTTTCACCGCACGCGACATATATGGCACAACATTGTCATGTTTTGTGGAGATTCTATTAAAGATACTAGATCAATTAACGCGACAGAATGACACAACGAAAATTTTATATTAAAAAATGATAAAAACGTTCATTAAATCCGCGTGTATAATATATGTTGAGATGAAATTGGAAGCTTTTTTTTTAATTGTTATCCAGATTGTTATCAAAATAGTCATTTCATTTTTTTTAGTTCTCCATCATTCTCGAGTTTTTGTTATGGAGCAAACCTTTATCAGCGGATACTCTTATTAGATCTTATCAATATTGTTCAAATAACACAATGGTATAGTTACGAGTATCTTAACATACGCATACGAGTACAATAATTTCGTAATAGTTTCATGTTATTACAGCGAGATGTACGTAATTGCAAACGAAAATATTCTATTACCTTAACAGCAGTGAAGCTTCTTTTTATACATTCATGCTTCGAAGAAGGAGCTATCTATAAAGTAAAATAAAAAATGATGATCCATTGATAAGGCCTTGAACAAATTGGTAGAAAACACGCTACAAATTGCTATAAATTAATCTGACTCCGGCGTTTTAGGTGCCAAAGCATTCAGTTGTGTAAATCAACAGAGATGAAAGGAAAGGCGAAACGGAAGTGTGATGTTATGTAATTATATTTTATTATATTTGCCTATCCTTTTTTTATACGAACGTGTTCTTATCTAGGTATCGTCGGCAACGAATATGTTCTCCTCCTATGAATTTGTAGAATCACCAATATATTTACATCTCTTGCCTGAGGGAGGCAAAAATGTTACCTGTGCTTTACTTTAGAGAGGAAAAAAATGGTATTTTGCACGCCCCCCCCCTTCTTGGGGGAGAAAAATAATATTGTAAAATTTACCTTAAGATAAATCCCCCCCTGCCTGATAACCTGGCTACACTCATATTTGCATACAAACAGGTAACAATTAGTTTAAGATGTTACTATACAGCAAAAAATAAGAATTACAAATATACATAAAAATTATCGTGTATTTATTGTGGATTATGCATACAGCGTGTATGTACATGAACTATACATGAAGACGCATAATAACACGTATAATAATTTTAAAGCTATTGTTGATTGTATAGTAAGATAATAATTTGTCGTTATTTATATTTTTATTAAAAAAGTAATTAAATTTTTAGCTTTTAACCTGGCGACTGAAATACAGTTTTTTTAAAATAATAGATTTAATATTGTGCTAACAATTGTATATTATTCCTAAATAATATGTAAATATATTTTAAATCATACGTACATAATACGATTTAATATAAATTTCATTTAACTTACACTAATGTTTATTAGACTTGATAAGTTTGAGTGCTGCTAAACAATAACGTTAGTAATTCCGGATCAGTTAAATTCTTCCTATATTTCTGTACAATCTCTTGTATTTTTAAGCGTCGCCGCACGTGTGGTGGATGATAACTGTAACAGGCCATATATTCTGGATACATTAATATATTTGAATAGAAAATTTATATTTCACATACCTATCGTTATCAAGTCGTTTCCTACGACCCATATTTAACGCCGTTTGCCTAACAAGTGTTCCTAATACCCTTCTGGACACGACCATTCCATCAATTAAGGGAGTGGCTAAATTGATTCTAGAAACTGGACCTTGTAATCTGACTCTCATTAATCCACTGCCGAGAGCCTGAAGAAAAATTACTTGCACGTCTGACGGTTGTATTACTCTGGATTGTTCGAGGCCAGTATAAGTAGAGGAGAGAAGATCACCTAAAGTACAAACGCTGCGGTATAATAACTTACTTGTTCGATAGAAAAAGAAAAAAAAAAGGAATAAATATCTTCACTAAGACGAAGGTACCGATAGGAAATTGAGCATAATCCTCTAAACTTTCCAACCACACGACCATAATTTTAATGTCTGTTTGCACTGGTGGAACTTGTTTCAATGTTCTTCTTGGCTTAACTGGATCTGCGTTAGAGGAACTCGAGGGACTCGATCCTGTTAAACTGGGAGGCTGTTTTTCTAAATCAAGTGACATTGCTCGTGAGTTTTGCATAGTGTTTTGACCTATTCCATAATTTCGGGTATTAATATTTTCGTTGATACTTCGTTCGAACCAGACTGCAATTATTATTATTATATATTTAACGTATGTAATATTAAATATATAAACACAGCTTTCTGTTAATGTCAATCTTCGATCATACCTTGATTGGCACTGATATCACTAGTGTAACTTGTTTCTTCTAACGAGTCCGAATTCAACAGATTGTTCGACTGAGTCGGCACAATAAATGCAATTTCTGAACTAACGTCTGCCCAATAAAGTACGTGAGTGTCGCCGTCATAAAGAGCTCCACCGTGATCACTGTGAGCCGGTTGTGGCACATTCAGCTGTGGCGTTACCCTCCACGAGGTAGAAACATGACCTGTCCAACCAGCATGAGCCGACACAGAGACTGGCCATCCAAGAGAATTTAAAAATTCCAAAAAGTTCGAAGACACGTTCGCTTCGTGTAGCTGTAAAAGAAAGCTGTTTTGTTTGAGCACAGAAACGTGTACATACCACGAAAATATTTTCGAATGAAGAAGAGTCATACCACATTGGATAATATTTCTGTTGAGGCTTTTTGGCCAGCTTTCACGTAAAATATATATACAGTATCACACGTTCTTGGACTAATGTTATCCAAGGTTTCTAAATCTAAACAAAATCCTGGAATGGTTGGGTCTAAAGCGATAAGACCGCTATTTCGAGATTCATCGTCCCCTTTCGGCTCCATGTTCAAGAAACCAAAGTGGCTCAAAAAGAGACGCGCAGTTTGAAACTCATGGCAGATACGCGGAGGTACGCACTCCTCCGTTTTCTCATCGGACGTTTTATCATTTCCGTCGCGGTATTTCGACTCGATATTCATTTGACGCTCCAATAATTGCGATAAAGTTTGATGCTCGTTTCTCACTATGTTGTTATCGTTCATGACAGCTTCAAGGCTCGGTATGGATTCATCCCTATTAAAGGAATACGTTAAATTAGCTCAATATTATTTTTAAACGTTTGAAATGTAAAAAAAATATTCGAATTTAACGTACACTTTGCAATGAGGAATTCGATCAACGTTATCAGGAAAGAATTTCGGTTTATAATCTGTTCGCGGTGCAGGTTCTGCTAATGGCAGTGGTCGACCAGGATTTGTATTTACGCTTCTTATACTCGATCTATGCCTTGGTAAATGTCGAAGCTGCATCGTCCATGCGTGTCTACCGAACGGACCGCGTATTAACACAGTCACGGTGGGCTGCGGATCTTGATCGTTTCCAAGAGGTTCCTCTAATAGAGCTAATATGGTAGCATTCTCGGCCACGAAATATCGAAATCTTTCAATCGCTGCTTGACGTGGCACTCGACCACCGGTCCAACTGTTGCAATGTCGAAGAAGCGATACTTCGTCTAATAATGACGATAACGACTGTGCTCCGCATGCGCTTGGGAAATAACCAACCTATAAACAGAGTAATTCATTTGAAAATATAACAAAGAATTACTAAAAATGGTAACAATTTTACGTTGGTGTAAAATTGGATAAAAATGAAGGCACTTCAAAGTAAGATTTTAATAAGACTTTCAATATACTTGTTCAAGAATAACAGTGAGAAGCGCATCAGCGGAATCTCTAACACGCATGGATGCCGGTTTCAATTCTTTCTCGTCTTTCATTTTAATAGGTTCCCCAGGTTTTCCTACACTTTTTGTTCCTGACACACCAAGTTCGACCACCTCCAAAACTGTCGTTAGGCAATCTTTATCCTGGAAAGATGTTAATGTGAATTTTTCGATGAAATTTTCAATTACGAGAATGAAGTATTCAAAATGTACGAACTTGTAGTAGTTGTGGATGAGCCGTTAACCAAATTGTTAAGCAACTAAAAGCAGCGACAATGGAAGAATGAAGATCCTTCGAATGAGCTGGCGGGGGTCGCCAACATTGATATGCAATGTAATCGCAAAGCCACTTCACAGCTCGCTTACATTCCAATGCATCTATAATATTCATAAACAGAGTTACTTACGTTACGATTGTACCTTTAAAAAGCGTCTTCATGTAATAAAATACAATTGAACCTGTAAGTTTCCTTGCTGCGTATAAAATATTTTCAAGTTTATAAATTAGAGAATTCTATGAGCTGATAAAATTTCGAAACTTTAACAATGATCATTCACCTGTTTCGCGAATCCGTGTCCTTGCTAATCCAGATAGTATTTCGAGAGCAGCCAATGAAATATTTAAATCTGTTTTCCATGAAGATATTAATCTGTGACAGACTAAGTATGTTGCTCGAACGAAAAGAGCATGTGCTGAGTCTGAAACACCACACAATATTATTAATCACCTAATTTTTTAAAGTATCGGTGCATATATTATATGTATTAAGAATCTTTCAAAATGCAAGCCTGTATACAAAATCGTCAAAGAAAAAGCTTCAAAATGTGTAACAGAAATACAGAAATGAATACGATACGATGATCTTTCCCAATATTTTGTATGTGCAGAGTAATGAAAGGCTGTACTACTTAGAAAAAAATACGTTTATTTACCGAATGCAATACATTCCTCTTGAAGAGTTGTAATATCAGAGGCTTCGCCGAGCGATCGTTGATCACTGGATATACTTATTTGACTGGTTGAATCGCTGGTGACTATCAAGCGATGATGAGACGGTACAATGGCGAATGCACAACAAAACACAACTCATAATAATAATAACGAATGACATCTCACACAAGCACGCGTAAAGCAGATACAATAAACAGAAATAGTGATAAGCATCATGATTTTACATCACAATAATTATGCCTGATTCGCTGGAATTCCAAATTGCAAGCAACTGGTAAATGTTAATGAGCTGCCATTTCGAACAACAGAGCATTAACTCCAGCTACTATTATCGGAATTACACTACTTGTATTTATTCTTCGAAATCGAATGTAAACGATAATTAATTTCAAAAAATTTCAAACGGTGCATTCAGTATATTTATATACAAGCTAAGATCGTTTAAATTACAAAAGGCAACAAACCTGACGACAACAAATTTACAGTCGAATCGTGTGCCACGGTGTCTGGTTGCGTGACTTGCTCCACTTCTTCTGCCGCTGCAGAGTCTTGTACGCTTAATAAAAGAGCTCCTAGAAAATACAGTTAACAACTGTACAATGAAAACATTAACAAATTTAATTTCTGACTCACCTAATAACATATGAGTATTCTGAGGATCAGTTTCCACTTGTAACGCATTTATAAGCAAATTCATAAGTCTGGATTTTAACTGAGCAAACGTTACGTGACCCTTGTCTGAAATCATTGGACTCGAAAATGTTGGCAGTCCCTTGATAGTAAGATTCTATAAATACAACATAAATGGTGAAAAAAAATGTTCCATGCCTGATATACACTAAGTAATAAATACTTATATTAATTACTTGAAAATGGAGGGGTAGTGCCAACATTGATATCAATAAATGTATCGAAGCTCTTCGTAGATCTGGTTTTGAGACTATGTTAGATTTCAGTTTCAAATCTTTTTCTGGAAGTACAGTCTCTAATGCCGAGATCACCGCAGGCACCACTACTTGCACGCCATTTAAATCTAAACGAAACAAATCCGCAGAGTTCAAAAGAATGCCTGCCAACGTTTCACCGCATTCTCGAGACTGTAAATAAACATATGAATCACTATTGTATACGTTCTCATAGAATCTATGAGATATAGATAATATGCTCAATTAAGAAATCATTACTTCGTCAACTTTAAGACCGTGATGCATTGCCTGGTAAAATCTAGCTAGATACACCGGTAAAATTTCTTCGCCGGTTTTTTTAGCACAAAATATTCTACACAGCGCACCCAGAGCTTCCGCTCTCCCAGATTCGTAACGATCTATGCAAAGTGTTGGTGGAACGTCATTTACAGTTTCTTGTAACGAACTAGGACCTTCGACGAGTACAGAAGATGGACGTTTCGTCGCACCCGATGGTTCTGCGTTTTGGCAAAACTAATAATCACAACTTTTCAACGCATTCGACCTGACAACAATTACCATAATACCTACGCGGTAAAGTTTGTGACCATCCATCAGTGCCAATAAATGCAGCTTCAAATAACCACTCTCCGAAAAGGTGCAGTATACTGTTGCATTTTGGACGGCCTGGAGCTAAAGGGGGTCTAATATCTTGAACTAAGGAAGTCATAGCTACAAAATATAAAAAATACTTTTATATTTCAACAAGCACGTGATTCCGTAAAGTAAATGGTTATAAAGTCTTACATGTTGTACTTGAAGCAGACGAAGGTCCCGAATTAGATATTAACATGGGTGGTGTGCTTGAAACACGGCTTGTTGTTAAACCGATTAAAGACGCTTTTGGGATTCCTACAGTAGAAATCAATTAGGAAATTTATTAAATGTAATTTAAACTATCTTACTAACATAGTTTTTTGTGAAAGTATAATACAGTTTTAAGACGAAGAAAATTGAGATATCTACAAAAGTAATCAAGGATTTCAGGCTTTCACGGCCCAGCATCGTACAGTTATTACTATTATGTGGTTCCCGGGTGTAACTAGTGTTATTTTGCAAAAATTCTCCCAATTTTTCACCAGCTTTACAGCTAGTTTCATTGATACAAAAACGACAGAGGTATTTATGCGACTTCGACTCTTCTCGGAGTAATTTTTTCAAAAGGACACAACTTACACCTGCAAGCTTCAACAGTAATAACTGTACAAAAGAAATGAATAAAATATATACAATCAATGTTCAGTAATCGAATCAGAGAAACTCAGAAGAGAAGTGCTGAATACCCTTAGTCACTGCAGAAGGTGTAACACTGAAACTTTTGGCAAGTCTTCGTTGTGTCGGAGGTGTAGGAGAAGGTTGTGTCAGATCCTTGCCACTCGATTTGTCCCACCCTACACCACCGCTTCCAATGCTAGCAGATCCAGACGTAATGGAAGATACACAACATTCTTCCCAGCAACATGCCTGTGAAACTCCTAAAACATTTGTGACTGCGTGCAACCATCACCTGGTTATGCAAGCTGAAGGGTAAGTGTGCTACTTTCCAAAGAAGGAAAAAAGTGTGAAAAAACTTTGATTTGTGGAATTTTTTAACCACTGTGTGTAACTTATATTTATACCCCCATAAAAACTATAAGGTCCATTATGATTCTATATTGAAATTCATATGTAATTTAATTAGCAATGTTCACTTACCAAGAAAAGCATCAACTTGACCTGCTATACCTTTTATGGCCTTTAAGAATATTTGTGGTAAACTTTGCAAGCATGGATGCTGACAAGGATCTATAACGTTCGGGCTCGCAATAGCGTATTGCAAAAATGCTTGCGTTTGTGAAACAACGGCTGGTCTACATAAATCAACTGGATCCCCTATAGTTCGTAGAAGCCTGTACCATGCTTGTGCCACCGCTTCGTCCGACATTGTCGGTGGTACAAGTTGAGAATCTTCCTCGCCTAAACATATCAGTACACGTTACGAACTGTTACTGTGAATAACAGTATGTATTATCAAGGAAAAGAACTAACTTATTTTTAATTCTGGAAATATCGGACCATACATAATTTGTAGAAGTCTCGCGGTAAGGGCAAGACAGACACGATTCCATTGCTCTACTAATGCTAATCTGTGTCTCCATCGAAGACAAGACTCTCGTAATGTACGCCATAATGGTGGAGACGGAAAATTACGCTCGCACGCCACTAGCCAAACCTAAAACCATTTTTTTAATAAATGGTAATTTCAAAACATGCTTAATATTAATACATTGCCATAAACATGTGGTACCTCCAACAATACACCTAGAACTCTTTCACATAACTGTTCTCCAGCATCTTCTCTTGTTGCTGGAGGAGCTAAAAGAGCATCATTAATTCCAATAAGAAATAATAGCAAGCTTTCCCAAGTTTCTCTTTCTAAAGTTGCAGGACCTCTTGCAATTTGTTGTAATGTTCTAAGTACTCTATGACACAAAACAGCCTGTCTATTAATCGTATCAGTTCCTATAAATAACATTTAACAGTTTATAATTTATTATTTATTTACAATTTATATAGAAATATAAATCCATTATGCAAAGGGATGTAGTTTTGTTAATTACAAATTACCTATATCCTGATATAAAAATGGCCAGACTATGAAAGAAAAGATAATTACAAGCAGTTAAATATAAATCTTTATAATTCCATAAATAGTATGATTGTAATTTCTTTTTGTGAAGATCTTATTAGTGCTAACAGTTCTTAAATTTATCACATAAAGAAACTGAGAGGAAGCCAAAAAGTTGTTCAAATTACCTTCTCCTTTTCGTGGTACAAATAAATTATGAAAATGGCTTATTATTTTTCTGGCATAGAAGTTTGGATCATCTATGATTGGCGTGGGTACACAAATCTTTGGTGTAGAATACAATGCAGACAACCATTCACAGTACACATTAACGCAATCTCTGACAGTGTCGTGTTCAGCCAAAGGTAATGATAATCCAAAACATATTACTTCCATACACCATTGTACTTCTTTATCCGTGCATAATGGACTAGGTTCGGCCGCTTGGGTAATACCAAGATTCGCGGCGAGTTGACGTACAATAGACAAGGCAACTTCTTTGCCTGCTCCAGGGGAAAATTTCTCGAGAACACTTTGACTTTCTTCCGAACCCTGTTGAACTAAAATGCTTAGCGAAGCCCATTCGGAATACATTCCTCCTTGGGAGTCCTACAAAAACGACGGTATCAGCATAAACGTGTAATAACATCGTGCGATTGTGCAAAACGAAACATATAATAAGAAATTACCTTAAGGTTAACTCTATTAAATACGCCCAAATTCATAGATTACTATACACTTCTAACGTCCTGTAACTGAGAATTAAGAAGGAGAAAACAAGATCTCACGTGTATTCGTTTAACCTTAACTATGATGGAAAGATGTTCATCTTATATGACACATGGAAAAATCGCACGATTAGGTCCAAAACTATACATATCTTTCAAAATGATGAACATTATAATGTGTACAAATGTGTACACACATACAGAAAATTTGACATTTACGTATGTATCATTTGACAGACAGGCAACCGCCATATAGTATACAAGACGATTCCGATTGGCTACCGTGTTTAATCATATTAATAGATTAGAAACGATGCATTCCTTTCCCCACCTTTCCCTATGAAATATATCCCTATAGCAGTTATTATTACCACCACACTTTGATTTCTTCATTAAATATTTTTAAAGTAACACGAGTAACACCCAAAATATTAGGACGATTAGGACCCATCGATACGTTTCACAAATATATTTATAAAAATATCTTGTGTTGCTAAATTCATGTATTCATATGGTTTTTATTTCAATTGAAATCTGATATGTAAAATTCTTAATATATATATATATATATTGTAAACAAATTTCTGTTTTGATTACAGTTTCTATAAATTAGTCCATTAAGATCTACATTTGTATAAACATTGACAGTCTACATGCGAAAAAATGGACGATTAGCAAATCGGAAATCTAAGCAAAACATAAGTAATTTATTCATCATATAAAATAGATTTTGATTGGACGATTTTCGACCGATAAAGTAGGCAGACGGTAGAAAACAGCTCTTTGGCTCTACCTACTGGGTAGGACGACAAGTATCACAATCTTGTGTATTGTATTACTCGCTTTTTTTTGTGTATGGTATGTATCTAAATCTTGAAACGAAAAACATCGACAGATGGCTCAAGATCATGTTATGACTAATATTTCTAGTTGTACTCATGCGGATGCATAAAAATCACGATACTTGAGGAACAAGTGCGAGCATAGGATCCGAAAATAATGAGCATAAGGACAATGTTGCTGAATATGAATCGAATTTGAAGTTACATTCGTAAATTTCTGCGTCGGGGTAAATAGCGAATTGAAACATGGCGTTTGTTTCTTTCATATGTTCTGAAGATATTGCCTCTTGATTTTTTCCTTTCTCACGGATTTTCAATTTATCACGGAGGACGTCGTTCTGAATGCGTTGAAGTTTCCGTTCCTCTTTCGATAACGCTTCACCGTGACCGTGCGAATAGTCAATGCTTATTTACCATAGACCCAATCAGTTTTGGAAAATGAAAAAGTATACTCTGACCTGTGTCTATTGAGATGTGGAACGCTCTTCAAACACTGTGGAATACAACATGACGTCCCGTAGTTACACAAAATCTTACAGCCGTAAGGTCAGTAGTGTGACACCAGGGAGTATTCAATTCGATAAGCTTTTCAGAGAGAACAGCAATCGACCTTCCGCTGCTAAGTCAGCAGGCACTGTTGGAAAATGGGGTATAACATCTTTTACATCTATCAGAAGCACCAATATCAATGGTACGCTCCTCATGTTTTCATTAAAAGTTGCATGTATTAATTGCATTCATAACACGTACAGATGTATGAAATATTGTAAGATCAAATTTAATTTTTACTTCATAAAACACTCAAGATATAAAATAAATATATGTATTCAATATTTATCTTTGTCTATTACTTCAGAAAAATGTAATTTTGCATAAAGACTCACTGCTGTATTGTTCGATGCATGTTGTATTAAACAATTTGTTATTATATATTTAGTGTCCACCAATACGAAGTCAATAGAATATCTCTTTTTTTATTTATTTTAAACGCAATAAACAATTATTTTCAACCATTGGTCATTTTAAATGTAATGTATGTATATATCTTGTGTTTAGAAGTCTGATCTGTTTAAAAAAAATATATTTGTCCAATTAGAAAACAATAATCTTAGTGATGATTTTTAAAAAACTGCATCTTTTAAAGTGATCTATTCAGATGATAAGAGTATTATGCTGTTACAGGAAGAAGAGATGATATTCATAACACATTTGGTGCAAAACGAATAAAACTTGATTATGGAAATCAAAATGCTCGTGTAAATTCTGGAAAAGATCCGTTTTCATTTGAAACTGATCCTGACAATAAACCGGATGTTGCACCGCCGGTTGTTAAACCTAAGAAGTTTTTTAAGAGTAGAAATGTTTCACCTGCGGTAGAAGAATCTCGCCAGGATGTGGCAATATATAGACAAGTACCTGATTCACATTACGGACGAGCTCGTCTTCAGAAAACTACTCCGCAGCCGTCACCAAAACAATCTTTGACAAAAGTGTCCAGTGCTCCAGCTAAAAAGGTTGCGGAGACTTTGGATGTAACCAATAACGATACAACTCCCACTAGGGAAGAAGGAAAACCTCCTATTGTGTTGAGAATATGCAAGGGTACAGCTCGGCTAGTGTGTGGAAATGTACAAGCTACTCCAGATCCTGAACCTGAAACATACAGAATTTCAACACCGCTTATGAGCCCCACAAAAGTAGATATCGAACGTAAGAACGTCAACACAGATACGTTAAAATCTGATCATAAAACGGTTCGTTCTCACCAACCAATTATCTCTACTGTATCAATACCATTAGAAAATTCAGAGATGAGAAGGACTACTCGTAGTCGAGCAAAAAATTTGCATTTAGATTTAACAGCATCTTCTGTCGTGTCTACAACACCAGTAACACCTAATTCGCATAGTTCTGGTCTTTCTTTAACCCTTAGAAAGTCTGTTACCGATTCCAATAACACTTTAATATCACATTACGATATTGTCAAGACTGATTGTGGTTCAACATACCCCTGTAAGCCAGCAATTGAACCGTTAATTGGACGCGATCAACCACTGCCAACTACAACACAAGAATTAATTGATATATTATCAAGTGATTCTGATCCTATGCAAACGAGACCAATGATAATAAATGCACCGGAAACAGAGGAGACCGCAGTGGTCGTTCCCGATGAAGTTCAGCACTGTTCGATAGATATTCCAACGAACGAAGTAATCTCTGGACCTACTTTGCAGTCTGAACCTACTTCGGAACCTGAACCAGTTCTTGTACCAGAATCGGAACCAGAACCAGAGCTAGAACACGAGGTACAACTAGAACCAGAGCCAGAACCGGAGCCTGAACCAGAACCAGAACCTGATCATGAAACAGAAATCGAACAACAGCCTCGTACAAGTGATAATGATACAGCTATAGCTAAAGCTTTAGTTGATCAGGATTGGTTTTCTGGAAGCGATGATAGCGAAGGTATGAGTGGTAATGCGGAAAGTGATGTGGCGTTACATGTAACAAGTACAGTCTCCGAGTCACAACCACAGAATGTTCCATCTACAACTGTCCAGAAGCCTGCTACCAAAAAGGGTAGTATTTTTAAGAGTCGTTCAACTGGTGCAACAAATGGAAATAAAAGAAGGGCACTGTACAAACACAAATGGTGCGATAGCGACAAAGAATCTAATACTGTGGACACTGCTGCTGCCGGAAGTAATACACCAACCACTGCTTCAGGATCCCATAGTAGTACAGGACCTGTGGCATATGAAGAAGAATTCGATCCCTCGCAACTAACAAGAGATGTAACATATCCTGAAGCTGTTGCGGATTTCGAAGACGAATCCGATGCTATAACAAGTTTACGTTGCGGCAAGAACGTTAAGGGTGTATGTACATTAGAGAAGACATTTAAAGATTATATGATAATATCTATACTGTAATTTAATGTTAATCTAAATATTTATTTTGTAGTTCTACACTGTGGTAAAGAATGTGAAGAAAGCTCATCAAATTCAAGAAAGCGGAGAGTTTCAAGAGTTTAATGATGATGTTGAATATATATTAGACACTTTAAGGGAAAACAATCCAAATGCTACTCGTTGCCTTTCAGCTATACGATTAGCAAGCAAATGTATGGCACCCGCGTTTCGAATGCATGTACGTGCTCATGGAACAGTTGCTAAGTTTTTCAAAGCACTTCACGATGCGACTAAGGATCAGGTATATAATCTATATCATTATATGTACATACACCATGAAAATGAAATTCGACGAACATTATGGTATATTCCTTTTTTTCTTCAGAGCCTGGCTTTATGTACAGCAACGGTGATGTTTGTGTTAAGTCAAGACCGTTTAGCTATGGATTTAGATCGTGATTGCTTGGAATTAATGTTAAGTTTGTTAGAATCCGATGCCAGTCACAAAGACGCGCTTGATGATTGTGGCCTTAGTCGGGCAGAATTGTTAAAGAATAAAGAGAAAGTACGTCAATTGTGTGCTGACATTCAAGCTCAAGGACACGCGAAACATTTGAATCTTGATAATATAACCGTGAGTATTCTGTTATCAATTGGTAATACGAAACAATAAGAAGATGCATAATAATGAATTACTTTCCACTAGGTTGGTCAACTTGCTATGGAGACACTACTCAGTCTCACATCGAAACGTGCTGGTGAATGGTTTAAGGAAGAACTTAGAGAATTGGGAGGTTTAGAACACATTGTTAAAACAATCAGAGATTGTCACCGTCATATTAATGCTCAGGATATTACAAGATCCGGTTGGTCGGATCCATTATTAGACAAATTACGTAAAGTTGATAGATGTCTACGTGTATTAGAAAATGTGAGTTACAAGTACTTGTATGTAAGAGTGCGAGTAGATTAATGTTTAAGAAATATCATTAATATACCACATTAATGCAGGTTACTCACATGAATGAAGAGAATCAAGTATATTTACTGAAATATGAGAACGGAATTTTAGTCAGCACATTAGCAAATCTGTATCATCTTTGTGGACAAGAAATACCTATTTATCCAACTATAGACCCAAGTGATAAAACATCTACTGGTGCTGTTATTAGAGAGTGTCTGTTTGCTATTATTAAAGTTCTCATTAATCTTACACATCGGTTCAATAGACAATGTAAGGTTTTATCATATCTTGAATGATCTAATAACGAAAGCATACACACTTTATAATGTTTCGCAATGTTTTACAGCTTTTGGAAGCAAAACAGTAGGGTCGCAAACAGGCGTTCTAGATTGCAGTCTATATCTCTTGTTGCGTGTCCCGGACTCGCTTCCTGAAGAAAAGCGTTTCGACATGATGATGTTGGCTTTGATTTTGTTGATAAATTTAGTAGAACAATGTGACGACAACAAGCAACTTCTTATCGATTCTAAAGCTCCTCCATCGCCAGAAAATATTTTTGATGGTAAATGTGTTACTATGTTTTTTTTTTATATTTTTACAGTGATAAAAGTTTATTATAATTAATTGTCGTTCCTTTGTACAGTGTCCGAAGAGAGTGGAGTAGAATCTTTAATCGATCTTTTTTACAAACAAGAAGAATTGGCTCGTGCTGAAGAACAAAAAACAGACGCCATATTAGACGGTAAAAAAGATTCCGAGCAGACGGAAACTGTATCGACAACAACTAAGTCACAAGAAGAATTCATTGAAGAAACTGTTACTAAATGTTTGTACAATTTTTATTATCATGCAATACAACCAAATTATTGTGAGGTATAATCTACAAAATCTTTTTTGTGTTTCAGTATTACAAAAAGCGGGACGTCATATGGAACATACTTTAATAGGAGCATACGTAGTGCTTTTACTTGGTTACTTAATAATGGATAATAAGGTAAAGAAATTACAGATGGAAAAATGCATATTATATGTACAATAATGCATTAAAACATTTTTTCTAGGATTATGAATCGTTGGTACGCAGTAGACTACCGGATAATAATTTTACTGCTATGGTGTCTGTACTTCAGAAATTTTTCAATTTCATGAATTTAACGGCATCGGTAACTATCTTATATCCTGTTATGATCAACCTATCGAACAGTTTTTGAATGCTGATATAATTTTTGATTTTCTGTTCTTTTTGTTTTTGCAGAATGAAGTAAGTAGTTGCGGAATCGCCGCTACTGAAAAGGTGATCAAGTTCCTAAAGATGTCGGATGCCAGAGTAGAAGAAGAGAAAAACGAACTACCATTACCAGCATTAGAAGATCCGAACATAATGCTTGATTTGTCTTCGTCTTGATTGATATCTTCTACGAATATTTGACATTTTTTTATTACCCTGGCATACAAAGAGAGCCAAAGTCATATGTGTCCAACTAAGGAAATTCTTTTTATCACAGTACGAATGGACCTGTTTCATATTGACCATATATTTTGATATATATTTATTCACTTACGTAATTTATTGCTATACCTTTCATTAAATTTACTTATTTTCCCCCTAATAACAGTAACACGTTAGTCGTTAAGCATAAGTTGTTAAGCAGTCGTGCAGAACATTAATGCCGTAAAAAACGCGCTTTGTAATTACGCATTACAGCTCATTTAAGTTCTCGGCTGGCGTGTGTATGTATTATTATCAGTTAATGGATTCGCCAATCGATCACCTCCTTTTTACGTTTCTTTTTCTCTCCCCATTACTTTTTTGTACCTTAGAAGAGCATTCACGTAATAAGATATGTAAGCGTGTCTCTTGTCAGATTTTAATTCGTTCGCTGTAAAATAACGCATAAATTTGCAAAATTTCACCGGTTACCTTAAACATTTTATTTTAATCTACCTTGTAAGTTCTTAGTCGCACGATTGGCGGTGTTGGGGTTCCCTGTGACCCGATTAAAATTTTGAGATAGCGTTAATTGTGTAAGTTTATTTTAATATTACAGATTACTATAAGCCTTGTAAATGTAAATTTATAAATTATAATTGTATCTTGAATTCGCAGTTTCGAGTTATTGGATCCCATTAAACAGGCATAGGATTTCACGAACATCTTTGATCACGTGTCTTGCCTGATAAAGTAAGGGAAAAAGAATGAGAGATATATTACATTGTTATGTATATGCAATAAACTAGCTTGGAACATTACGAATCTGTAAAATAAAGCATTTTTTAAATAAACGTTCGAATACGTTGTGTATTAGAAAACTTGAAAATAATCATTTCATATTGTATTACCTATTTATTTAATATCTTTCGTTCGCTTCAAACGATATAAGTCTGTTTAGGAAAACTATGCCCCACGTACGCGTACTCGTTGCTTTAAATTGAATGATTCGAGAAGCGTTTCGAGTAAAATTGTCCCCATTGTTACTCGCCGCTACCTTCAAGAACTTTTCTGAAGTTGTGTGGTAAGGTAAGGTGGTAACCTGATAACTACGGTAACTGCTAACTTCTGGTAACTTCTAAAACGATTGTGTAAATACTGTAAAATAACAATGTTGACTTTGTAATTAAAAATTAATATTGTAATAAAGTCAGCATTTCGACGGTATATATACTTAGTTGCAACAGATTAAATAATAGTTAACATTCATGAATTTATTTATTATCAATGTATAGTATGTTATTTGGTATTTACGTACCTATACTACACAAATAATAAAAGTAATAAAAATATCAATAGTAATAAATAACTATTAAAAAATGTTACCCATACGTTACTTGTCGATGTAAGTGTCAGGGTATTATATTCATGTTTGATAACCTATCATAAGATTATTAGGTTCAGTTGTAATTAAATTCCATTTTCTCTTTTCAAGTTGATTTAGATTCAAGTTACATTATTATACAACCTCAATCAAACATGGTGATTCTTGTAGGATTAAAATTTTTGTATTGCTATTCGATTATTAATTTAATAATTTTTTAATGCTGTGGTAGAAGTTATTTATGACTGAACCTGATAAATGTATGAATTAAAAAGTTGATCAACTATCATCTTTCATGAGAATTAATATTGACAACTTTCAGGAACATTAGAATGCAAATCATATTACCAAGTAAATGGATAAGTATAACACATAACATGATTAGATTAAGTTCCAGTGTATCTTCATCGGGTTCATCTGATTCATCAGATTCAGATTCTGATAGTAATTCCCATAATAAGAACAATGACAATGACAAAGATAGTGACTTCTTTGATTTGATAGATCATTTATTAACTGTAAGTATTTTATTCCATTTACTTCAAACAACATTCTTAGAAAATGTAAAGTAATTTTATATATATTACTTTTAAAGAGAATGCCTTCAAAGAATGCGGATATCAAAATAAATGTACACCGTAACGAAGAAAAAATAGGTACATGTACAATTTGTTATTAATGAGAGTAATATTAACACATTTGAGATCGATAACCCAATATATGAGTCATGTAGAATGTTTCCCATTTAGCTAATGACTCACCATGTGGGTCATGTCCAAATGATACATAAACATTGCCAGCTATTGGGGATAGTCTTGTACTAATACATCGGTCTCGAATATGTTAAATTCACTGAGGAGTAAGCTACAAGTGTTTTCCATCTACTGGTATCATTTACAAAACAGGTGTTTCAAAATTTGTAACTCCTTATTGTAGAACAGCGCATAATAAAAGCAGCTGAAAAACTAAATATGACATTTGGGGGAGATAAAGAAGAGATCGTTTCGTCGTTGTTACATGGTTATTCTACCATCAAAAAGACTAACAACCGTGTAAATGTGATGTATGTACATAATATTTCGAAAGTAAAGAATATTTGTTTCATAAGTATAATACTAACACTGATGACATACATCTTCTAGGGATGACGATGAATACAGTGAGTCTGCGGCGGAATATAAAAAGCATAGACGCAGAGAGGAAAGACAGTTTACAAATAAATTGACAATGAAAAATGAAGAAAAGATCCTTAGTGCCAACAAAAGAACAAAAAGAAAAAGCATGGAAATCATATCAGAGACAGAGCCGTCTGTATACCAGACGCTGTTGAAAGAGCAATATTCTCAAGAAAAACAACAGCCATCTATACTTAAGGTGCTGTTAGAAGAGCAATATTCTCAAAAAAGGCAAGAGAGACAGTCTCCACAGAAGAAGCTGTTACAAGAGCAATATTCAAAAAAACAAGAAGGACCATCCATATCTGGAACACTATTGGAAAAGCAATATTCTCAAGGAAAACAAGAAGCCCCATCCATATCTGAAAAGCTGTTGAAAGAACAACGTTCTCAAGAAAAACCAAAAGACCCAACCATATCTAAACAGCTGTTGAAAGAGCAACATTCTCCAGAAAAACAAAAAGAGCCGTCCGTACTTCAGATGCTGTTGAAAGATAAACATTCTAAAAAAAGACAGATAAAGACGTTTGTGTCTGAGAAGCAATCGATAGAACAGAATGCTCGAACAACGCAGCAAAACTTGTCTGTACTTGCGGACCTATTGAAAGAGCAAAGGACTTCACAAAACCTACAAACACCGGTCACTAATTTGTTTCCACAAAGGGAAACCAGTTTTAAGGACTTAGGACGACATATGGAACGTGGTTCAGTGATGAATCGACGCCGTAAACTAAAATCTGCGGATGTGTCTTCACTTGCGACAAAAACAAGAATCCGTGGTGAGATAAAAAAGGGGCCATCATCTCTATATTCAATACTGTTAGGTGACCATACGGAAACAACGGATGATAGGTTTGATAAATTATTACAAAGTGGTTACACGTTTGTTGCCATGTCAGTCAGTGGTAATTGATGTTAATTGTTATTCGTATATACATACAGTGTCGTGAAATTCATACTGCTAAACAGTATGTACCTATGTAATTATTGTTACCATAAACACTCCTATGAAGAATTGAATATTTTATTGTTAGGAAAAGTTTGGCGACAGTATTTCAATATCGAATTTCCACACTGTTTCGACATTTGATTGAAATAAAGTGGCGACGAACGTGTTAATAAAAAAAATAAAGACATCCGTTACTTACATATATATTAATGTCTAGCGAGATAAATGACATGCAGAAGTACCCCAGAATTTTCACTACCGATGCGGCACCTTCAGTTACTTCTGAATGCAAAACATGGGATTTGTGTGAGAAACATTACTTGAAATTACTGATAAATACTCATCCCACAAGTAATGCATTCCAAGAAATGATTCAATGGACTGAAGAAGGAAAACTATGGAAGTTCCCTATCGACAATGAACAAGGTATTATTATGTAATGGTCGATTATACGACCTTTTGACATTTTATTACATTGTACCTATAATATACAATATAATGTACAAAATGTATCTATACACAATATAGGAATGGACGAGGAACATAACATACATTTCTCAGAACATGTGTTTCTGGAACGTCATTTGACAGGATGGTGTCCAACCAAAGGTCCCATACGTCATTTTATGGAACTAGTATGTGTTGGGCTGTCGAAAAATCCATACATGACGGTTCAAGAGAAATACGACCACATAATGTGGTACCGACAATATTTTGAGGATAAGAAGGACTTATTAAATGAATTAGGACTTGTAGATGTTCATCCTTCTAATACGCCAAAACAAATTAAAGGAAACTCATAATATCAATCTTTTTCTGAATATATTAACAAAATATAATAAACCAGTATACTTGGAAGACTGATCATTTATTTTGCTTTCTCTGTACATTCTATTGTTTTTAGATTGTGTATCCAAATACATAGCAGCTTTTAAGAGATCTTCGTAGTTCAGTGTTTTATGAGAATGCATCATTTTTTAACATTTTTTTTTTTTAAATTTATGAGTTTTTATAAGTTTGTTTTCAAAATGTTCCGAATTTTTTCCGGTTGCTTAAATTGGGAGAACCATTTAACGATCTAAAAACGAAGAGTCTAGATACAATACGATGAAATTAAGTAACAAATTTTGTAAATACGTGAATCTGTACATATAGCATTCATTATACTTTAGGTGAAGTAACAAAAACTGTCGTACTAATGAAATAATAAAATAAGCATATGTTTTATCAAGACGAACACAGTGATAACAGCGACCGATAATCAAGTTAGTTTACGAAGATAACACTTGGGAGCGCGTCAGTCTTGATCATGTGCAATTTCAAGTTTCAACTGATGTTTTGGATGCGTTCTTTAGGTTAACACATGGGTTTTTCGTGTATATAAAGTATAAAGTTGGAAAGAAAAATGATTGAAGCCGAAAGCATTGAAGATCATAATGGATTGCGATCAGATGGTAGACGTGCTTTAGAATTAAGGCAAATTCGCGTAAGAATGGGAGTTTTTGGGCAAGCTGATGGAAGTGCCTATATCGAACATGGTAACACTAAGGTTTTGGCCACAGTATATGGACCCCATCAGGTTGTTATTGATTTTCTTTATTTTTTAACTCATAAAAATAGAAATTTTCGTATTTACCGAATCATTTGATAATTGTATAGCCGCGAGGTTCTTCAGGAAGAAGTTCAAGTAAAGTCACCAAAGGCATAGTGAACTGTCAGTACAGCATGGCGGTATTCAGTTTATCTTCCGGAGAACGTAAACGAAAGCCGAGGGGTGACAGAAAGTCACAGGAAAGATCGCTTCAATTGAAACATGCGATGGAAGCGATAATACATCTAGAATTATATCCACGTTCGCAGATAAATATTTATGTAGAGGTCCTGCAAGTCGATGGAAGCGACTATTGCGCGTCCGTAAACGCGGCTACGCTTGCTTTGATCGATGCGGGGATTCCGATCAAGGTAGGATACAATGAAATTGAAGATTTATATTTTCATTATGCTAAACGTTGAAACTAAATTATCTATCTAATAGAATTATGCTGTGGGCTGCACTATAACATTAGTCAACACTCCAACTGTAGAAGAGGAAGATAAAACATTGGGAACAGGAGTGTTAGATGCAAATTATGTAGAGGAATGTGCTCCTGGTGTTACATTGTCTGTTGTTGCATTACCGGACAGCGATAATCTATCGAAAGATGGTTTAATAGTGGTAGCACAAGGAGCAGGGCAAAGATTACATTTATCACATCTAGAGTCTTTAAAGAAGCGTGTCTTATATGGTTGTCAGGACATCAAAACTATTTTAGACAATGCAGTCAGGCATTATTTAACAGAGCAATCTCTTCCTTCCCTATTTCACGTTACATCAGATTAGAAGTAAAAGACAGACAAATTACACACACGACTGTAATAGTACAAACGATATATTTAAACAATTTTTAAAAAAATTATACCTCTGCAAAAAATATATAAATGTTTATCATTCTATAATTTATACGTATCCTGTACAAATAGTTCTGTTCCTCAAGATAACTGATTACTGAATTACATTCTTGTATTCAAACTTTAGCTCCAGGGTACCTTTCCATGATCATACCCACTCCCTATAATGTACGTAATATAATTAATAAAATGAACTAATTTAAAACCAAGGAAAGTACACGTATAAGAAAAACTATGTAGCAATGTGAACAATTTTTGTTTACCTGTCCACCAGCTGCACAAGCTGCAATTAATCCAATTTGTTGATCTTCTCTGATAAGCCGATTAGCCGTGTGCGTAGCTAACCGAACTCCCGTTGCTGCAAATGGATGACCAATTGATAAAGATCCACCCCATGCATTCCATTTACTAAGATCCGGTGATCCTACTTTTGTTGATCTTCCTAAATAATTCTGTGCAAACCAGTCGGAATCTAATGCTTTCAAATTGGATAAAATTTGTCCAGCAAAAGCTTCGTGTATTTCCCATACTCCTATATCCTTCACGGTTAATTTTGACTTCTCTAATACCTATAATGAAATTCATAATTTTAAATCAAATACTAAGTATATTAAACATGTACAGACCAGAACATTTTTCAACCTTTGGTATTGCATATGTTGGTCCTAACAGTAATTGGTCGACTGGATCTTGAGAAACGTAAGTGAAATTTCTTAAATACGCTTTCGGCGTGAGGCCAAGTTGAAGAGCTTTCTCTTCTGTCATAATTAAAGCCGCTGAAGCTCCATCGGTCAAGAAAGAAGCATTGGCAGCGGTTACTCCTCCATATGGTTTAACGAATGCTGGTTTCAATTTTTCTAATTGCTCGGGCGTAGAAACACGAATTCCATTATCTTTATCAACTACGGGATCCACATTTGGAACTAATGGAAACATTAAGAGTAGTCAATTCATTCGCTTAATGTAATTTAGGTATTACTACCTTTATAAGGAATTACGTCTGTAAGATATCCTTGTTTTTGTGCGTTAGCGGCCAAAGTATGCGAACGTAAAGCGTATTCGTCCTGTTCTTTCCTCGATACTCCGAACGCTGCTGCCAATCTATCGCCGCTGTGTCCCATTGTTTCTTGGCTCGAAAATTCTGCTACAGCAGGCAACTGCAATTGTAATAAGATAATGTAATCTAGTGCATGTTCTTGAAATTGAATTTAGCCATAAGATCACCCACATCCGGTATAAAATGTTCGGCTCTAATACGAGCGAGGAGAGACAATTTTTGTGTTAATGTTTTCGCTTTGTTGGCCTGTAGCATTAAAGATCTCATACGCCGATTGTGCCTAATTGGTATGTCAGACATAAATTCGACTCCACCAGCAACGATTACATCATATACACCACAAGCAATCAAACCCATACCAGTTGTAAGAGCTTGATTGCTACTGATGCATGCCATAGTTACTGTATGCGCAGGAGTACGATTACTGTACCCAGCTGCTAAAGCAGCTTCTCTGGCAATATTGGAAGTTCTTACTTCTTGCATTACTGTACCATAGACTATGTATTCCACCACCTCTTTTGGAAAATTAATTTTTCTTTGTAAGGCCCTGTGAACAAAGAGTGTTATGCTACAGTGATGATAAAGTTAATTGTTAACCCAGATAAGCCTATCATCCTTCTAGAAGGATGGCCATTGTTTTGAACACCAGCTAACAGTAATAGAATTTATTTAATTAATATGTTTCATTTAGACCCCAAGTAGAGGAAAAATGACATTATTTTGAAAAGATTACAAAAAAAATTAAGGCATAGTGGGTTAATAATATAAAGTGAAATCAACCTACACCAATGAATGTCTTGCAAGATCATTTGCCATTAAGTTTTTATAAGTTGTTCCAGATTGCAGAAATGGTGTTCTAACACCATCAATATAAACAATATTTTTTGCAGCATTGTTGTGTTTTGTTGCATATGACTTATTTACAATTACATTCCAATGATTTCCACAAGCTCCTAATGCATAAAATAAATGATATATGTAGTCATTTTCAAGAAACTTATGATTATATATACTTATGATTTAATTATACATTAAGAGAGCATCCTTTTACTCTTTCAATGTAATCCCGGCATAATTAAACACTTTGTAACAGATTGTTTCATTAAGACTTTCAGTACTGCACTTTGCACCCATATTATTGGAAATAGCAAAGTCTATCATACTCAAATTGTGATTTTTTTTTTATAATTTTTATGCTATACTATGATCAGTCATACCGTATTTAGCGAAACTTTGCTTCGCCACAAAGCTATTTTTCACAACGGAAAGCATTTTCTATAATTAATTCAGACAGATGAATTTTTTCTCCTGTTTAGTGCGATTACTGTATATGTCACTCTGTTCCACTACGTTCGTTGTTCGACTTGGTTCGACTACAGTCACCGGCATGAAACACGTTCACAATGCGTACTTTGACCCAATATAGTTCTATGTTTCATTTCATTTCTTCTTGGTAGTCTTTAATACATATGTTTATTATAAAAAAGTCTAATATAGAATATATTGACTTTATTACAAATGAATATTATGAAAATGATACCAAGTGATACCACAGTATAAGTATAATCAGGATGATCACTCTGTGTCGGCTTCTTTTATGTTAGCATCGAACAGTCGCCATGTTATGGATTGTATAGCACGCTAATATTTAAATTGTAAAAAAGCAGGCAAGTATGAATCGATACTTTCATGTTATATGTATAAGGAGCCGCAACTCATACTATCGTAATAAAATATTAGCAAGTTGCAAATATGGTTGTCCTATAATTTCGTAGCGTTTTTATTTGTTTAATTTTACTTAAGGTATCGACCTTGGTGGTATCGATTCAACCCTATGTGTGAGTAAAGATGAATCGATACAAGTAAATACGAGTACATTACTCGATAATTTTCTTTCGATACCGAGTACATTTGGTATCGATACCTGCGGTTGCGATATCAAGTAGGTATCGAACAAAAGAACTCGTATAGAATGGTGAGTATCGACCTGTGTAGTAGCTTGGTAAGAGAGGTCATAGAACCCCGGAACATGCGCAAGAGACCCCGTGTGTGAAAAAGTGGGGTCATAGAACCCCCGGACTTTGCGCAAGAGACCCGTGTGTGAGAGAAAATGGGGCCATAGAACCCCCGTGATATCCGTAAGAGACCCCGTGTGTGTGAGATGTATGTACTACATATTTATTTATCATGGATAACTTATCTTACATATAACGTATATAGTTTATACATACGTTTATAAAATATTTAAATAATATATAAAGTATAGTATTGTATTTTATTCTCTCTCAACGCAGAAACAACTTTTGTGTTAGGATCAAGGTTAGGAAAATATAATTCGATACAAGTAAGTATCGATACCTTCATACAAAAGTAATTATGAGTAAAAGTATCGATACTTTGGTGGTATCGATTCAACCCTACCCAGCGCTACTTCTGTCCTTCGGTCTCGCTTCATCCCTACCATAAAACCGCGCAGCTATTATATGTATATGCTATAATGATGTGTGATACGAACCCGCTGATATATATATATATATGTATGTATATATATATATATCAGTTGATATCAGTGTAGTACGAACTGCATTCGAATCGCACTGTGTTGCACTCGAGGGTGGTCAGTGAACGTTACCGCGTGACCCTGTCTTTCTTTATCCAAAGATAGCCAAAAACTGAGCAGCACGACGTCGATGACTGTGCCAAAAGGAAGGTGGCCGTAATAGCACGTTCCTGTGCATAAATCTGTGAGGTTAAGTGGGAACGGTGTTCCAGTAATAATAATCGCAGCCGGTCTGTTTTATGAAGTGTCAGGACCTTTAAATGACAAGTAACTATGGCAATGTCTGGTTCTGATAGGAAGCCGAGAGTCATAGTTTTAGGAGGTGAGTATATACATATACATATAAATGAAGTCCTATCGTAACGATAATACGGACGGAAGTGATAAACAGAAAGGACAAAAATATATTTTATCGTTGGCACACAGGATGCGGATTTATAGGACGTAATCTCGTCGAATATCTGCTGGATAATGATCTCGTCTCGTTCGTTCGCGTCGTGGACAAAGTGCCGCCGCAGACTGCTTGGTTGAATTGTAAACACCAACGGGTATTCGAGCATCCACTGCTCGAGTTCAAGAGCGCCAATTTGATTAATGCAGGTAACAGAGACTAAAATGATCTTCCAAATTGACAAGTGGACTAAGAATGGTTTAAGTTGAATCAGGAAACATGGTATTCTTATTTCATCCTACAAACCCCAGACCGTTACTGTCCATACAGTTCGCGATACACAAAAATTGCGAATTTTTTTCAGTATCTTGTCAAAATGCATTTGTATCGGATAACTCATTCAATTATGTGATTAATTGCGCTGGAGAAACAAAGAGTGGTCAAACAGACCCTGTGTACAAAGAGGGGATCTACAAGCTAAGCATGAACTGTGCCCAGCATGCAGCAAAGCTGCAAGTTGATCGTTATGTGGAAATATCTTCTGGTAATCTTAATGCTTCTGAAAAAGTATGTGCAAAAAAAATTAATTATATACGTAAAGAAATTAATTATATACGTAAATCCATAAAAATATTTTCATAGAATCCACACAAAGAAGAAGACATTGGGGAACCGTGGACATATGTTGCAAAATATAAGTTGCAAGTTGAAAATGATTTGAAGAATGTACCAAATTTGAAGTACACAATTCTGAGACCAGCTGTTGTGTATGGGTATGGGGACAAAAGTGGCTTGGGTAACAGCAATTCTAGTTTCATTGTTCCAAAGGAACAGTCAGCTTTTGTATTCATTTGAATAGTCTTCTAAGCATACAAATTATTTTCCTGCAGCACCACGTCTTGTAGTAGGAGCAGTTTACAAACATTTGGGAGAAATGATGAAGCTACTTTGGGGTCCAGACCTTCATATGAACACAGTTCATGTGAGGGATGTAGCTAGAGCCATTTGGCATGTAGCAAACAGGCCAGACACTGTGGGCCAAACATACAATGTTGTTGATGAAGGTGATTCGACTCAAGGATCAATCAGTGCTATAGTTTCAGAGTTATTTAATATCAATCATGATTACTGGGGTATCACACTGTCTACATTGGCTAAAGTATGGAGAAATGCTTTTTACATTATTTTTAATGTATTATGCATGGCTATGGAGTTTTCTACGTGTGTATATGTATAAATACGCGTGTACATGTCACGTATCTACTCCTGCTTCTTCGCTTTATAGATCAAAGGCTGTTCCATTTTTCTTCTTTATTAGTTATGTGTTTTATAGATTATTAATAGGGGCTTAAGGATTGTGTTTCATTATATATTCTAGACAGATATGAATTCTGTAGTCGAAGAAGTGAATGACAAGCATATGGCACCTTGGGCAGAGGCTTGCAATAAGGATGGTGTGGAAAATAGTCCTCTATCCCCGTACATAGACCAAGAGCTTCTATACAATAAACATTTGTACTTACAACCAGGAAAATTGTTAAGTACTGGGTTCAATTATATGTATCCGAAACTCACGAAAGATGCCTTGAAAGAGGTACAGATCTGTCTACATAACTTTTATAAGCAAGAATTTCTATTAACTTCTAATGGTTTTATTATTTTAATTGTTTCTACCTAGGTTCTCGACGATTACGTAACAATGAAGATATTCCCACATTCCTTGGTTCTATGAACTGTAACAATGCAGACTGCCAAGATCAAATACTGAAACAGCTTACAATGATTTGTATAAATAACTTTTTGGAGCGTTTCACCTTGTGCCTAGTAATCTATGCAAATTACGTACTCTATCGTATGTTATATACTTTACTCGTATTTTACCCGCTAACGAACACAGTTGGTCAAGTTTATAGAGTATACAAGATGGAATACGAAGATTTCATACAATAAGCCTATCTGCAAATGTGATAAACTAGGAGTTAATGTACTTAATTTTATCATAGTTTGAGCTATGAAATTTTTGCACCTTAAGGTTGCTAGTCAAGTTTTGACTCGTATATAAGAGTAACGTGAAGCTGGAAAAATGTTGAGAGGCAAACACGAGACTAGATACTTACATGTCTGAACTTAGTGTATTATAGCATGTAAATGTTATTTGGATGGATATTTTAGCCAAAAGAAAAGATGCTTTTTATACTGCATTTCTCCAAGACTGGAAGCATAAATAAAATTGTTAAAAAACCTAATGAGATTCATACGAATGTTAGAGAAGATTTTTCGTTTTTATATTCACTGCATTCCAGTATAGATCTTCCACCAAGCTGTGAATCGAGACTTCAGAAATCTTTTTATTCCAAGCAAATAACGGTTTCGTAAGTTTAGAAATGTTAGATACATTCGAATTATATAATGTATTAAAATCAAGTACAAATAATATTACTTAAGTTAGAAAAAATATTTCTAAAACGCCAAACACACGAAGATCGGGTAGGTTTATTACACGAGAGCAAGCCTAATATTGCATCGGATCATGTGACAAAAAAAAATGCATATAAGCTAACGGCGCTGACTGCCAATTAAAAGTTAAAATAGTATTACTCTTTTGAAACAATTGTTATTAATCCTTTGATAATAAAGTTGAATTATTCATTTATGCATTTAATCGGCTGTTCTGTCTGTACTGTACCTCTTATACGATTCGAGGAGCTGTATTTATGGAAAAGGGGTTATTATCTTTTGTTTATTTTAAGATGAGCAACATTGATACACTGTCTTAGTTTTATTCAATCATTGGTTACAACAAGATACTGCGCTCAGAAGGGTCAACAATATCATTAAATATTTCGTGTACCGTTTTAATTTGAATACTTTAAACAATAAGATTATAATTTCATGTAGTTCATTATACATAATATATTAAAATATATACTTTTAATATTTTCTGCGTATAATATATGTACAATCGTAGAGTAAAAATATTTACAAAGTAACTGCACCCCAAAAGATAGCATAATTATCGCAGTAGACTAATGATGTAGGTGTCAGTAAAGAAAAAAAAAGAATGATAAGGGTTCGTGAAAAATAAATTAATAAAGTTTTCTTAATACATGATAATTACTATAATTAACGATAGTAATACAAACATTCAATTTACCGAGTTATTTCGTTTTTCTTTTCTTCATATATATCTCGTATAAAATAAAGTATTAATGTCTTGGCTATACCTACTCACTGTTAAGCGTGAAACAGATTTTTCTGAGGTAAATCGTGTAAATCTAAATTATAGTGTTTTGTAATAGGTACTGCGGTTAAGTTAAAATTAAGTAATATAAGGTACCCATCCCTGTACAAGGGTGGCGATTGTGGAGGTATATATACTTGACTAGAGTCGCCGTACAATATACAATTAATACTTTATGTCCATGTATGGCCAATACTATTGGATTGTTTCATTCTGAAACACTATTGCAAATGAAATGAAGTATGACTATACTCCCTTTACAGTTCAATAAAGCTACGAGATTTGTATGAAAACATTGAGAAATTTTTAGGCATTAATGAAAAATGCTAGTACTTCTAATGCACTTAATTGAAATATTGCTTAGTGTGATAGAATGTAGAAGTAGATATGTTTTGCGAGAACTTAATTTTTTAAAGAATCTGTTGTTGAAATAGCCTCAATTCCAAATTTTTCTCTTTTATACAAACTGGTTACATCCTAAACGTGACATTCGCAATACTTGTTCTACCTATCCGCAGTCTAAAGATAAGACGTTTATTGCTTTGTACTTCAATACTGCAATTATAATCCGTACGTTTTGAAGTCGATCAAACACTTAGCTAACACCTTAGCACGGCGACTCTATTTTTCGCTTCTTCTTCTTCTTTTTTTAGTCATTTTCTACAAAGTCTACAACTTATCACATCCACGCAATTAGTTGAAAAAATTACAGTATTTAAAATGTTTCACTGATAGTGATACCACCAATGATTCTCGGTTTCTCATAAATTCGGTAAACGGTTTATAAAAAAGTGGAAGTATGTTTTTATATAAACTACAAAAAGTCAATGGAAAAATTTCAGTAAAATTGTTTCAATAGCAATCGAGACGTTGCTACACTTAAATATGGTACATTATACTAGTAAAAGTAAAACGATCAAAATAGTTTATAAATCTACGTTCATTCACTTTTCTTACAAAATCTAAAAAATCAATTATTAAGATTCGTATACAGTAAAAAAAGAAAGCATGTAATCTTTTAAAGAGATAAAGCATAATATTCGCCGTCACGTTACTTATCTTTTTTCCCTCTGTCATCTATCAACGCTTTTGAACTATCATTTTCATTTTCTTTATATTCATAAAAACAATAATACCTTTATCCTTAGAATTTCTCATATTCCGTCAATATTATAAAATTGTACAAGCTTAATAATTAACGTATACATACAGTGCAAACGATATTTAGAAATATTTGAAGAATTTTCAATGCAAACGGAAAACAAATTCATGAGCGATCCAAGTTAATTAGTTGCCTATTGATTTTTTTTTACATGTTATCAATTCTCATCAATACTCATTTTTCCTATTCAACTCTAGGAAGAGTAACAAATACTTTCAACAAATATAAAAGTATACCACTATATGTCAGTAACGTAAAATGTAACAGGTTCATGTTAAATACAATAACAAATGGAAAACAAATCATTTAAATAAAAAAAAAACATCACAGAACAAGCAATTCTATCTGTGAAGTGTGTGTGCTCACAACAAATAAAGTTTATTGTGTTTCAATGTCAAGAATAAATAGCCGTCGCATATGCATGAAATGAGATTCTAATAAAAACGTGATCGTAGAATATGTAACAAATTCTATACATGGAGTGCAAGGAAAATTATTTCCTGTTTTTTTCTCTTCTCATCAACCATATCAGATCTTGTAACTATTTCATTCTCGGAGTCTTGTTATAATCTATTAGTACGGAGTTCAGTAAAACGTAAGTAAATCATAATTTATACTTAAAAAAAAAAAGTATAGTTGTAGAATACGTTCTATATAAAAAATCTGCATTAATAGTAACATGTCTTTAACGTAAGGCAGAATCATTTTCTGTTTGTTTCGAAAAATGATATCAAATCATAATATTTAACAAATTATCTCGTGTAAAGATGTAGAAATCTACGCAATAAATATATACGGTAAAAATCTCTAGCATGTGCAGATTGAATTAATTCTATCTTTACATGGTTTCATACTGTGCTTGTAGTGACTACGTTTATTGCATGATTCAGTGTAATATGTGATCATCTCGAGTAGTACTGAATGTGTAAAATGTAATAAATAACAATTAATGGAGGTACAATAATAACATGACATATCTACGTCTCACTCTAAAAGATATAGCTTATTCTATCAGGTACTGTGTTGGGTTTTTCTCTCTGTCATGGTAACATGCACCAGTCTGGAATATGTTTTGTAGTTTTGTTTCGTTCTTTCTTTTGTATGTTGTAGTTAACTTTAAATGTCTTGTACAACGCAAGATTTATCTTTATCGTATGTAAACTGACGTTCTGAACAGGAAAAAATATTTAGAATACAATAAATTCATATCCAATCGGTAAGTCAATAATTTTAATATACATATGTTTTAAAACTATACGATCTTTTATAGATGTTTTGTACATGTGCTAAAAAATTTAGAACTTTTTCTTTTAAAAATTCCTACCTTACTTTTTCCTGCTCTTTGTATACGTTTTAGTAGTGTATAATACAATGATTAGACATAGAATATAAACAAGACTTTTCTTCCTTGGAAAATGCTTGATAACGTTCCATTCTTTAATAGAATAAATATTTGCCAAAGTTTTAAATGCTATACATGTGCTTTTGTTGCTAGCAGCTGTATCAAAAAGCAAACCTAAGTTCTATTCTGAATGTATTAAGATCTGATTAGCTTTTTATATGTACAGGGTGTTAATTTTAACTTGAGCACCTAAATTATTTCCGCTACTATTGGAAGAAAAAATAACCCAATAGGATGTACATGGTTTTAAGGCGTGCATCTGATGGTGATAACAAAAAATCCTGTGAAGGTCATTTTAACGGTTTTTTCAGTTTGAAAAATGCAGAAATAAATAAACGTAATAATAAGAAGTAAAAAAAACATTTTATCACCGTCAGATGCACGCCTTAAAACCATGTACATTCTATTTCGTTATTTTCTTTTACTTTCAATAGTAGTGAAAATAATTTAGGTGCACGAGTTAAAATGAACACTCTGTATGTATATAACTTCTTAGAAATCTAAAACCTTCCCTTGTTAATTTCGATTTGGCTAATGGAAAACGCAAGAATGTGGAATGATCAGTATTATTGCTCCGTTCAAAAGCAATACGTATCATGAATTAAATTAGGCCATTACCTGTACCATTCAAATAATTTTGTCCTCCCTAGAATAAAAAGGAATGCATTGTTTACTTATCTTTCGCTATCGTCCAAAATGATACTTTATGAACATATTCACAGTTACTAATTAATCCTATTTACAGAAGCATCGAAAACCTTTTTGTCGCCCCCGCTGATTCAACCTTAATTTCATAGTCTACCGTTTCATAGGTATCAACTCACGTGAGCAAGTTATCTAATGAAATATTAAGTATCATTCGCATGATTTATTCGTAGCACAGTACCATTCAACAGAACATGAAATCTACGATTGCTAGATTTATCGTCGAATTGTTAATGCAAAGATACCGTGTTCTCGATCGAAATAACTTGCTCGAGAACATTATTTACAACAGCCCATGTTCAAATTCGACACACTTTTGTGACACTATTATTTACATTACTTATGTATGCATTGGTGTTTCTCATTTAGAAGCTTTATCGTGTACTCAACTTGTAAACTGCAGTAACTTTCATTGCTTCTACTTCCTTGAAAATTTCATTCCTGTTACTTTTAACCCATGTGTGTAATGCGTACTATACACATTATGTACACGTTGATTCGAACCGCGGGAAAACTTTTGCGTCCTACCTGTTGCACATTAACAGAGAAGGAAAGTGTGAACAGTCGATTGTATTGCCTAATGCTTTCATCCGTTTGGTCCAAGCGCTGGAACAGATATACACATAGCTTTCGACAAAGATGTGTCTCCATCAGGACATCCCGAGTTGTTGTTTAAACTACTACTGCTACTGCCTAAAGTACAATTGACCATTGTTAGCTGCGTGCCTTCCAAATCTGGCTCTGGTTCTTGCTCCTGCTTTTCTTTAACGAAAACAACGCTGTCCTGTGTTTTGTACTGCGTTTAAAAATACATGTTAGTATCGGTTATATAATTTCTTCTCTTACCCTTTTCACGCTATTTATATTATCATCATCATCATTATTATTATTATTATTATTATTAATTGTACCTGCGAGTTTTTTGTTATTTCAACATCCTTCGCCTCACCGTTTATTTCCCATGATGGTAATAAAGGTTCCTTCGCGCACGATTCAAGAATTCCATTAGACTTTCCACCCTGATTTTCATAAATGAAACATTTGTAAAATTATAATTTTAGATATGTATAAGGAAGCATTGTCAAAATTTCTCATACCTTCGTGTCCAAATGTGGATTAGTTGTAACCGGAGTCGATGGACAGAGAACAGCAAGTTCAATTTCATTAGGCGTTACTCTGGAATTCATTTGCTGGCTTACTGACGTAGACGATTGATCCACGCAACACCTGTTACCATTTCGTACTAAAGAACGTCCTTTAGTCGATTGCGCGTTATCTCTTAAAACACGAGCATTCTCCCACTTTCTTCGACAATACATACTACATAGACAGATTGTGATAAATCCAATGCTTATGCTTACACCAAGAATTACACCTAAACGTGAGATACATCAATTCGTTACTAAAGTTTCAATAACGATTACCATGATTTGTACAGGTGTTCCGATCAGCGTAAATTAGTAAGTACATAATAAGACGTAATTGAAAAACACACGGTTCCATCTAAAGTATCGAATAATGTTGAAATTTAAAGAAATGTGCTACAATTTTTTCTATCACGTTAGTTTAGTCGAAGCATCCTGTGTAAATAGGTATGTAATCTTATACATATGTATAATGTGTCGCTTACCAAGACTCTGATCTGGTTTAATGTTTTGCGGTGGTTCTTGTTTATCCGGCGGATTCGGTATTTTCGATGGACTGGTGATAATACTTATAGAATCGGAAGGTTTACCATAACCGGCTTTTGTCATAGCTTGAACCATAACGAAATATCGTGTTCCTGGAGCCAAGCCAAGTAAAACTGTCGAAGTCTTATTACCAGATACTGTCACGTTTCTCCACGTGGTCGTTGAATCCATTAAATCCATAGTATATATGACAAAGTAATTTTGTATTATGCCGTTTATGCTGCTCGGCTCTTTCCATGCAACAAGTACCTTCGAATTATTTACCAAAAACCATTGTAGTTCTTCCACCTTTCCAGGAACTGAAATCATTAAGTTATATCAATCATTTTAATTTCTTATTCGTGTAAAAGGTTCAGTATACATTTGCATACTTACTGTCTTCGTTTGTATAACATTCTATAGATTCACTATAAAAACGGCTTTCACTTGTGTTGTTTCGAATAGCCCTTACTTTAAACTGATACAGCGTAAATGGTTTGAGTTTATCGACACTTGCCTTGGTATCGTTTCTGCAAAGTGTGTATTCTAATTAGAATCACTGACTAAACAAAGTGCAGTTCAATTGAAACAGTATACATATAATGATTACTATACGTACGATATAATACATTTGGGAGCGTCGAAATTTGTTACATGAATTGCGTGGTAACAAAGTTCGAAAGAATCCACATCATGCACATTACTCAATGACCATGTTACGTTTATGGTAGTAGGTGAAACAGGAATAGCTTCAAAGGCCATTGGTACATTACCTAAATTATAGATGAAATTATTAATTATATATAAAACAATTAGATTATTTTATATGATGTTTACATAGACAATGGAACTTACTTATATCAGGTGGAATAGTTTCTACCTGCTTTGTCAGGCAAGCTGTCGTTTCACCAGTGCTTATCATCATACACAAACCCACTGTATATGGAACATTCACATCTAAACAAAATGATTAATGAATGATATGTTTTCGTAAAGTAGAAAATATACTTTGCTATATCTAACAACACTCACCAAGACTGCTAAATATGTGTTCAGTAACATTTTGCGGTAAAAAAATACTTGTCAATCTATGTCCATTTTGATTTTCACAATAGATTTGCCAAAGATCAAATTCTGATTCGATTTTATCATTTTCTTTAACATTTAATTTCCATTTTACCTAACATAACAAATTCAATGTAACCAGACAGTAATGAATATCAACATGTAGCGTATAATACGAAGAATGTTTATACGGACCTTCACAGTCGAAGAATTTATGATTAGCACTTGTATGTCCACAATGTTTTTGATAACAATTGATTCAGCAGATGGCATTGTCACAGTGGTCCATTCCAGCTGTGATTCGCTCATATTAGGCCAGCCTTGATTTGTTCTTGCTAGTATTCGTAGATCATATTGTGCTCCAGGTATTAGATCTATACGAATACAAATGATTAGTTCCTGGCTTAATTTTTCATCACTTAATATGTATTACTGAATAGTTAAGAAAATAACATACCAGAAAGTACATAGGATTGAACAGTCGCAGGTAAATGAAGAACACGAAAAGATGGGTGTTCATGCCGTCTGTACTGTAATTTGTATTGTACCACGATACCACGGGCGACTTTCTTAGCGAGTGGTTCCCATGATACATTTAATTTTGTACTACTAATTACATTCACTTTTACTTTTGGTACACTTATAGGAACTGTACGAAAATAAACATTATTATGAATATATTGTTACCACGTGCAACAATGAAAAAATAAGAGGAATTCATTTACCACTTGGAGCTGTAGAACACAAAATGGTGGCTGACTGATCGCTAGGACCATTATTGTTCCACACTCGTATATAGAAGGAATAATTAGTAAACGGTTCAAGAAGCTTCGTCACTTCGACCGACGTAGAATTACCAGGTTCAGGTGGTGAAACTTCTTCCTTCCCTCCTTCTGCATACAGACAATACATGGAAATGCATTATACGTACATATACAGGGTGTCTCGGCTAACTTGATCACCTCAAATAATGACTTGACGGGTATAGTTTATGAAAATTTTTAGGCGTGGAACTTAAATGGCATCAAGGAGCACGTGTTCTTTTGTGTGGGTAAAGACGTTTCAGAGATTTCAAGGTCACCGTGATTTCTTTTTTAACGGAATGACCTATTTTTTGTATATAGGCGTATCAAATTTCGAATAAAAATATGTTGATCTTTATACATCTTAAACTTAATAATCAACGAGATATTTAGAAAATAATCACTGTATTGAAGTTGAGGGGCATCAGTTCAAGGAACCTATAGCTTCCAGCTAGTAAGTATGTACGTATTAAAAATTGTTTAGTAAATATCTTGTTAAGTCATTATTCGAGGTGATCCAGTTAGCTGAGACACCGTGTATATACAATACCGGATTGTATCAACATTCGTGGTTCATTTAAAATTCTTGGTGAATTTACTCACCTACGGGACTGTAATGGACGGTATAAGCAGTAATACTGGTGTGTGGTAGAAACTTTGGTGGATCCCAGGAAATAAAAATTTTAACTGGTGATAGAGCATGACATTTTAGAGAGGTAGGTGCAGCAAGACTATTACGAGATGTGTTCACTTGAAGCCGACCTGCGGCCCAAATTTCTCCCGCCGAGTTCACAGCAACACATTGGTAAATACCAGAATCTGAAGGAACCGTTGCTGATATCGCCAGCTCCGTTTTGTTATCTTCCTTTATATATGTAGTCCTACGTCCTGTATATTATACGGATATCGTATTATCGCATAATTTTAAAGATTACACCTCTTATACATCGATTTAATGGTATAATAGGTACCGTTAATTGTAATATTTAATGAGTCTTTTAACCAATATATTTTAGGCACAGGCAACCCCTGTGCTTGACACTCGAATCTTGCAGTTCTTCCATTTGGGCATACTTGACTTTTGGGTGTTTTCAAGAATGAAGGTGGCACCAAAACATCCACCGTAATATTCTGAAATGATTTCCCACAGAATATTATTCAAACCGCATACGTTAACCGTAATTGTAATGCACTGCAACAACAAACCTGAATCTCCGAATTATTTGTAACAATGTTTTTCAAAGAACATAGATATACTCCTGCATCAGATACACTCACATTTATTAATGACAATATGCTAATGCCGGTACTAGAATTAAATAAAATGCGAGGTTGTGCAACAGTATGATTATCTGAAAATTGGACCAGTCATAAAATATTAGATTTACATTCGTGAAGGTATTTGAATGAGATATGAGGATAAATCAGTCACCAATATAGCGAGGAATAAACGTCCACGTCATAAATGGAGGTGGATATCCAGATGCAGCGCACGCTAAACTAAGATTTGTTCCATTCAGCAACCAATGATTGTATGGAACTTGGGGAAACAACAACGGTGGCGTATGCGATCCATTACCCTCCGGCCGAGAGATAACGTTTAATTTTGCCTCTTTACTTTTTTTGGTTTTTCTCAGGAATTCATTATTTACTATGCATCTAGAAACACAAATGTGCATGTCTTTTCACATTATCAATTCCGATTTATGAATATTTATACGAAATATATATATATGTATGCGTACCTATATGAACCAGCATCTGATAACTTCGTTGCTTTTATGTACAGAACACCTGGTGGTACCATAAAATACCTACTACTCGAAAACAAGTATATTAGTACACAATAAAAAATTATGCATCCTGTCAGTAGCTATTGTATCTTAGAATTTTCTTACTTTGAGTTATTATGATTGGGCAACAATGTTTTTCCATTATGCTGCCATGTGATATTAGGAGGAAAAGGAACACTATCAATTAAGCAAGATAATCTTGCTACTTCACCTTCGTGTACAGTTATATTTTCAGGTGATTCTTTAAATATATGGGCAAGTTCTAAAAAGTACCAACAGAATTAACAGTTTTAACAATGATCATGACATTATATAGTCAAATAATAAAATACCCAACAAGAAACATACCAGCTATTTGTATAAATGTAGGGGACGATCGTAGAAGTCCTAAATTAGTACGTGTTACACAACGGTACTCATCTTTAATATAATCCTTAAAATTAACTGTAGTATTGTTTTTTTCTTTAAACTTCTGCACCATCTACAACAAGAATAAAACAATACCGATGTAAATGCTACGTCTTATGCTGGTATATTAACACATTCGAGACAAAACTATTTCCACAAAATGGCAACGTTTACATACTATCTAAACGTGATCCACATGCAAAGTCATCTACTATATGGATGGATATTTTACATGTTTCGTATAATTGATCATCAGTCTCGAATGTGTTAATTAATTGGTACTTTCAAAGATATACCTTATGTAAGTGAAGAGAGCCATTTCGGAGGAGTGTACAACGTGCAATACCACATGGTGGTGCTGATACTCCATTGTGTAACCAGGTTATATTTTGATTTGAACCAGCTATACAACTAAGTGTAATTCCTTTTTTCCCTAATATCACATGACCACTAGGTTGAATTTCCAATGTTATGCCAGAACCTTTGGTTGGACTATTGTTGAAACTTTCTGGTTTAGAAATGTTTTTACTGTGTAAACCGGCTCCAATTTCTTTGACACCTGAAACACATAGCCCGCAATATCATATGAATATAATTGTTAATTGTCTCTTTGTTTTTTACAAGTGAAACTTGAAACTGAATACATTGAATTGCAAATGTTTAGTACATCCTAAATACATAAAACTTTCCATTAAACTGTTTGTTACATGCTACTAAAACTATAAAATAAAAATTTTCATTTGCTTTCCGTAGAAATAACATTAACTTTTCAAATACACTGATGCTTACAAATTCATTGGTTTCAGAGAATCTGATCTGTATTTAATGTACGCAAAACGTAATGACACGCTAAAGGATTCTTTTAAAAATTCGCTACATCTTGTCCATTCATCATACGTGCAAATAATACTTTGTATACATCAGACTGAAAGATTAAAAATCATCTACATATTTATGTATATAATGTGGAATCTCCGTTTCCATTTTGGTAATATGCGTCTCGAGAAAAGGAAAGCATTCAAGTGAATTGGTGGTTGTACAAAGAGAAACCAGGATAGAAGAATTAGCGCATGGTCCAGCATGTACATAAGATCAGTTTGTGGCGAATATAAACAGATTAGATAGGAGGTGAGGAGGAAGACGCACCTGCGGCACAAGCGGGCTTTAGCACTTCTGTAAACAAGATGCTCAGTAAAAGTACTCGCGCCGCCATATATTCACGCTCATTGGCACTGGTTTCACTGACAAATCTTGGCCGAAACACGCCGTCGGTTCGGTAGGCTTTTCTGCGAAATTCGTCGCCGCATGTTTGACATCGGATGCAAGAGTTTTCGGCCGTTCCGTTCGCCGAACTCTTACCCCCGTTCGTGGTTCGCCCCTCAACTTCTTACATCGTCGCCATACGAGACAGTATATTGCCACCGAAATCTCGAGGACGTTGACAATACCGAGAACAGCACGCCCGTCGCGAATGATACTCGATTAGCTTCGTTCGCATTAGCACGCGATTTGTTCGTTTCTTGCCATCTTTCTACCACTGCTACCACCACATTTCGCGATGTACTCACAGTGGGGAAGAGTTATCCGAAATTCTGGGACCAAGGTCCACAGAGCCACGCACCGGAAGCTTTTCGAACCGGCCGGACATTTCACGAAATTATACATACAGCGCTCCTATACGGATACGACGGATTCCTATAAGTATGCACTGGTATCAACTGGTATTTGGTACATATTGGTACATATTCACATTTAAATAGATACGATACCATACGATACAAGCAGATGCAAGTCGACAAAATTATTCGGTACAAATGGGACAATTTATTTTTCTCGTTGATTTGTTAACTTTGTTTTATACACTTTTATAAAGGGCAATAAAGGAGACCGACGACATGTATGCACTATGGTTGACAACAAAGATCGCAAAGATCTATAAAAGATTTGTAACTTGTAACTGGTTCAAATTGCGTTAATGTTACGATAAATTTGAACTTCAAGTGTTTCTTGATGTAATGATAATAATGTAGTTATATTATAGCATAGAAAGGAATGAAAGATCAGAAATTCATAATGATATTGTTAAGCGAATGTAAAGTATAAATTCCACGTTATTTACAATAGACTGAGAAGAAATATTTCGTGCAGAATAAGTCTTTGATTGCCTTTGATATAGTGAACACGGTGAACACTTTTGAACAGGACCTGTGATCTATCAGGAGGGGAGAAGAAACTTAACCTTCAAAATTTAAATTAAACATGGCGCGTCAAAGTATTAATGCAGATTCCGAGAAAATGCATAATTTGTTGGACAATAAAAGTATAGACTTAGACAATTGTAGAAAATTGATTAAATCGTATATTGATCTGGTAAGGTCCAACAATTTATTAAGGTTCATGAGTGTTGTTAAATTGAAGCGAAACTGACTGTTTGTTGTTTATAGCATTTGTACAGTGCTGCTTTATTTTGGGCAGATAAAGTTGTTTCATTAAGTAATGAAGATCCCAAAGACATATGTACTTTGGCACACTGCATGTATCTGATGAAACAATATCATAGAGCTGCCCATCTCATCAGAAGTCGTGGATTGGAGAAGGTAATATTCTGTGCTATTACTTCTAATAAGATGCCAAAACTGTTTCTTATACTCTTATGAACCATACCAATCTTACTTTGTAGGCAGATGTAATGTGTCACTATTTGACAGTAAGGAGTCTTCTGGAAGCAAAAGAATACAATGAAGCACTGCAAGTAATTAGTGAATCTGAAATATGTACAAATATAACCCAGTCAGGTATCAGTTTTGCAGATCGTACAGACATACTGGAAAATGCTCCAAAAAATGTGATTAAGTATAAATAATTTTTTAGAATTTCTTTTAAACAAAATTCATAAGAATTACCAAAGTTTCAATAATGTATTTATATTTCATACCAGGTACAAAGTTCAATATTGTATGTGAAAGGACGAGTGTATGAAGCTATGGATAATAGAGCAGTAGCAACTGATTGTTATAAGCAGGCATTACATTGTGATGTTTACTCTTACCAAGCGTTTGAGGCCTTAGTTCAGAATCAAATGCTTCCTGCTTCTGAAGGTATAAAAAATGATTAAATCTTAATGAAATAAGAGCAAAGATGCTTATAATGTATACTATTTTAGAGAAAGAACTTTTGGAATCTCTTCCATTTAGTGAACAGTGCACAGAAGCTGAAACAGAACTTTTACGTTTACTATACGAGAGTAAACTGAAGAAGTATCAGGAACCAAATAAAAAGCAGACACTTGCAACATGTAGTGTGATGGGAGTTCTTGTCAGTGACAGATTATTAGGTAACTTGGACATGGAAGTGTCAGAAGCAGAGAGATTGTACTATAATTGCGATTATCATAAATGTTTCTCACTCACAGAAAGGTAATTTTGTAAAATGGCATGTATCTTTACTTCAATATTTATAACTGAAGTTTATAATTTCGATTGTTATAGAATATTAAAAAAAGATCCGTACCACAATACATGTTTACCAGTACACATTGCTTGTCTAGTTGAATTAAAGAAAACTAATGGTGAATATTATGCTGCACTAAAAATGCGACGATTTACAATGAACTGTTTCTTATATAATAAAATAATTCTTATAGCTTTGTTTTATTTGGCACATAAATTGGTTGACTTGTACCCAGACATGGCCTTAGCATGGTTTGCAGTTGGATGTTACTATTACAGTATAGGTAAATTCATTTGATCCGGCAAGGAGATATTTAGCAAAAGCTACAGCATTAGACAGACTGTTTGGTCCTGCATGGTTAGCCTATGGACATTCTTTTGCAGTAGAAAATGAACATGATCAAGCAATGGCTGCTTACTTTAAAGCTTCTCAATTAATGAAAGGTTGTCATCTGCCACTTTTATACATTGGACTTGAGTGTGGCTTAACGAATAATCTTAAATTGGCTGACAAGTTTTTCCAACAGGCTCAGGGAATAGCCCCAAACGACCCGTTTGTCATACACGAAATGGGGGTCATATCGTTTTACAATTTAGAGTAAGTAAACGTCATGTATAGTCTTGCATTACCCCTGAAAGGTTACTCTGATATAGAACAGAGGAGTTGAAAATTCACTCTGCAACCCAGTTAGTGTACTTCCATCCTTCCACGGTTTTTGAATATCTGCCTAATTTATCAAGAGTTGTCATTTCATCGAATACAGTTACAAAACTGCGGAACGGCAATTTAAGGAAGCCATGAAAAGAATTCAAGGCGGTCTAAAGGATGTTATCCTACCTAGTAAATGGGAGGCACTGCTAAATAACTTGGGTCATACATGTAGGAAGATGAAGAAGTACGAAGAAGCCTTGGAATATCACCAACAGGTTGACAAATTTCAATTTGAACTCGTACGAAATTTTATCGTATAAACTGTAAAGATTATGTAGAAAGTCTCTGTGGCGTTATTGTAGGCATTAGTGTTGAATCCATTAAATCCATCAACGTATTCAGCGGTAGGTTTCATTCATGCATTAATGGGAAATACTCAGGAAGCTGTTGATGCTTTTCATCGGGCACTTGGTCTTAGAAGGGACGACACGTTTACAACAACCATGTTAACTTATGTGATGGAACAACTTATAGAGGAATCACCTCCGTATCCTGGTATGAAATAACAAATATATATATATA